CGGGTCAAGGTGTTTTTCCGCTCGAGGGCAGAAAGAGCTCCCAAGAAATATGACACTCCACGGGGTGAGGATGAAAGTTGTTCGACGTCACGAGAAGAAAAACGAAAAGCATAATAAAATGGCAGACCGCACTCTGGTTCTCGCGTTTCGCCGATTCGATTGCAGCACGCATCGAATATGTCCGACGCAGTTTCGCGAACGTTCGAACGAGATTTAAAATCAAAATCTATATACTGTATACTATACTATAGTATCCTACATACTGTATACTATACTATAGTATCTTACATACTGTATACTATACTATAGTATCCTACATACTGTATACTATACTATAGCATCCTACATACTGTATACTATACTATAGTATCCTACATACTATATACTATACTGTATCCTATATACTGTATTCTATACTATAGTGTCCTATATACTATATTCTATTCTATATTATCCTATACATTGTATTCTATATACTATAGTATCCCACATACTGTATACTATACTATAGTATCCTACATACTATATACTATACTGTAGTATCCTGTATACTGTATTCTATACTATAGTGTCCTATATACTGTATTCTATTCTATATTATCCTATATATTGTATACTATACTATAGTATCCTACATACTGTATACTATACTATAGTATCCTACATACTATATACTATACTGTAGTATCCTGTATACTGTATTCTATACTATAGTGTCCTATATACTGTATTCTATTCTATATTATCCTATATATTGTATACTATACTATAGTATCCTACATACTGTATACTATACTATAGTATCCTACATACTATATACTATACTGTAGTATCCTGTATACTGTATTCTATACTATAGTGTCCTATGTACTATATTCTATTCTATATTATCCTATATATTGTATTCTATATACTATAGTATCCTACATACTATATACTATACTGTAGTATCCTATATACTGTATTCTATACTATAGTGTCCTATATACTATATTCTATTCTATATTATCCTATATATTGTATTCTATATACTATAGTATCCTATATACTGTATTCTATACTATAGTATCCTATATACTGTATTCTATACTATAGTAACCTATATACTGTATTCTATACTATAGTATACTATATACTGTATACTATACTATAGTATACTATTACATATTTACTACACTATATATATACCTCATCGAAAGTAGAATCAACAGAATTATTGCGTAATTGGAATACTTCGTACAGAACGTGAAGATCAATTTCAAAGCAAGCCGATTTACTTGTCAAATCAGTGATCAGTTCCACCGAAATTTCAATCCAAACGAAAACTATTCCGCTCAGCATGGTTTCTGACGGATTAAACGTTGCCTTACCTCAAAAGTAATCGAATCAACGCCATATAGGTAAGGAAGAGACGTGAAGAGAGGCGAAATGAGGTTTTCGTCGGGGTCGGTTAGAATGGAAAGTGGAAGCGCTGTGAGAAAGAGGGAATTTCAGGGCAGACGCGACGCCGTAGGAGAGCCCGCGTGCAAGTGAAAAATATTGGAAAAATATTCAAGACGCGCGGGCCCGATGAATGGGAGGACGATGCTTCTGTAAAATTCTATGCATCCCTAAGCAGAGGAGAGGCTCTTCTCTAGTTGCATAGAGATGCCCCGCGCTCGCGTGCGTTATTTTTAATTTTCCCTCCCCGTGTCGTCCAAATATCAAAGCGAGGATAGGCGAATAAATCCCTGTGCAAACTGTGTTGTTCCTGCGTTGAAAGATCCCCGAATATATGTTGCCCCCTCCCCGAAACACGAGGAATGTAAGCTTGTCCATGGAGAAAAACATTTGTGTAACGAAACGGAGGACATACTAGTTTCATCTGATCCTGAGTAATTTTTAGTTTGGAAATTTTAATTTCAGATTTTAACGTCTCGCGGTTTCAGAATTTACTTCATTCCTATCTAATGACAAACGCAGAACCAAATATCTGTGGCACGTGCAATCTACCTACCCACTTGTGAACATATACATTGTATCATATGCTAGATAAAAGAAGATGAAACAGCAGATAAACAAGGATATAGGATTATACTATATTTATTATATCGTAAATCCTATCGTGATGAACTGAGAAAATGGATGTGACTCTAAACACTTAATTATAATAATAATAATAAATAATTTCCTGGAATCCTGGACTCTACAGAATTCCCGAATATATGCTTCATACTTTGACGAATCTTGGCTTTCACCCGGGATTACAAATTACAGTTGAACAAAACTGATTAATAAGTGAAATCAAGAAGAGATCTCGAGCGAGACGCAGAGGCATTTGAAAAGGCAAATTCCAAGAACGAAACCAGTTCTACCAGACGGACTTAGCGACGACCCTCCGCGTTTCATTGATGGATCGAATTATCAGCCGCGTGTAGTTACTGGCTGCACGTTACACACGCCTCTTCCAGACACGTTCCGGACGGAAAATCAACTAGCTGGCTCGCCTTGATAATCACACGGTGGTATGTGTTTTTACCGGTTACATCGACGATGAAAGTGTTTCCTCGTCGATCGGCGAAGATAAGTGATCGAAGGATGCAAATAGCGGATTCTGGTTGGCGCGCGTTATAAACACTGATAATGAGATATCGCACATTGTACGACGTTTAGCGAGTAGACTGTTGCAATCTTTTTTCTTCTTCTTCTTTTTGCGATTAAAATTCGCACGTCGAGAATTTCTTGCCCCGAAATTGCAATATTTTCGCAGTTTTTAAGTATATTTGAGCGTAATCCAGGCAAAACAGTAATTATATTACTTCTCAATAATTCCAAAGCGACGAATTGTTGCTTGGTCACTCGTTATGGTCCGCAATCGGTTGCCAGCTGGTTGAAACATCGTGACACAGTTATTTTACATGGAAAATTTCTCGAAACTACGCAAGATCCACGGTGATCTCGTCTAGAATAGCATTTTGGAATTTCTTTCTGTACTCGTCCTCCTGAAGGTATCAAACAGTCCGTGCCGATCAATCGATATTTGAATTTTAAAGAAGCGATCAGACTGAGATACGTTTGAGAAATACGTATTGCCGTGTCAGGTTCCACGTTTAAAGTAAGAGTCAGGAACGCGAACGGCGAAAAATTTGATAAAATATTAATAAACGCGGGGATTTAGACGCGGTGCATCGCCATCGTCGATCCCGTAATCCGCACCAGCTGGCAGCTCGCCCGTGAAAATAAACGCACTGCTCGGCCGAAACAGCCCCTTTCGACGTTCGAATCTCAATAGACTTTCTGTACCAGACTAGTTTGGACCTTTAGGTCACCTCTCGGACTTTTCCTCAACTTTTTTCTCTCCCGTTTCCCTCGTCCAATAGTCCGGGGCATTGTTCCCGATTTCTAATTCAATTTCAGGCACAATCGCCCTTTAGTTTTCGGTGTTTAATTCTCTACCATCGGAAGCAGCACCGAATCATCACGTTTTTTTATTTCTGTCGCAGTCTTCGTTGAATTCGAGGCCGATTTTGACGATGAATCGATCAATAAAATGTTAGAAAGTGAATTTTTGCAGGAGGAAACTCGACGTGCTGTAAAAATTTCAGTAACATTTATTCAGCTACTTCGCTTTTATTATTTTTTTTTTTTATTTGATGTGCAGTTAGCATCGATCCTTCCTCTTACAACAACAATGTAACAACAAGTTAATTTGCGCTCGGAGGAGGTTCTTCATAGGGACCGAGGTTTCCGGCCCGGCGAAACGCCGGTAATCGGCTTACAGCCACCGTTTTAATAACTTCTACACGGGATATTAAGCGAGAACCACCGAACTTATTACCAGAACCATTTCCACCGCGTGTAAATCTGTTTCCCTACCGACGACGAAACGTTTCGTTCAATCTCGACGAACGCAAAAGACTCGTCCAACAAACTTCGCTTGTAAATTTCATGAAACAGACTTGGCAGTTCGAAGAATAGTGTAATTCTGGAAAAATAAAACTCTCGATATCCATCACAGTTCGGTAATTGAAAAATTTGAAAATGTGAAGATTCTTCGAGGACAGTTTACTGAAACTGAAAATGGGCCAATTTCCTTGCTTCGAGTAATAATGACAGAGTTAAGTACGAACGGGGCGGGGGAGGAGATTTGCCAATCTCAAGGTGTCGTAGCTTTTCACAATTTTCCTCCGGAGGATCGTCGGTGTTTACGGCCATACCGGGCGAGCAGGGAATTATTGATCTGTTCCACGCTTACATAACCTGGCCTGTTTTTCTTTTTTTTCTCCTTTTCCACTTCCGTTTGCGTAGGCCGCATAACTCATTTACCGGACGCATACCATCGTCTGGGTATTTTAGTTCCATCCCTCGGATATATGCGATCCGTGAATTCTATTTTGAATGTCTAGCCGCGTCACGTATAAACTTTCTCGCGAATTTTGGATACCGAATTCTCGTGATATCTCTATAAGTTTTCAAATATATATAAAATGATGTATCAAAATTTCTGCGAAGAATCATTCCTAAAACTAAAATTGCGTAAAACTACTTTCTTGTAAAACGTAGATCTCTGGTTTTTGAAAATAAAAATGCAAGAAGGTTAATTTCGAGAGTTAATTTCTCGACTGTTGTCAAAAATCCACAGTCCAATATCAATCATTAATTGTCATTAAAGAAATTCACAATTCACCCGTTCAGAAAATAAATAATTAAGAATTCCTTTAATGACAATTAACAATTAAGATTAATAATTGGTCACATTACAATTAATAATTAAGAATTAAGAATGCAATTAATTCTTACTCATCAGTTGCAAAATCTCATTGAAAAAAACTTCTTCAACGACATAATTAACGATTAAGATTAATGATTAGTCACAATTAATAATTAATAATTAAGGAACAATTAATTCTTGCTTATCGATTGTTGAATCTCGCTAAAAGAAAAAGGGAAAAAAATTATGAGAATCGCGATGAGTTCTTGAACGAACGATGCACCGATCAGCCGCCATTTTGAACTTGCAGAAGCGGCCTCGGCGGACGTGGCTGGTAGCAAGACGACCAGCGAGGCGGCGGATGTTTTCGGCGCGGCGAAATTCACTCCGGCAACGACGGCATCGTCCACAGCGACCGGAGCGTCGTCCCCATCGTGCGTCGACGTCAGGATGGTCGCCTCGAGCCACAACCTCGACGACCTGGGTGCCAACCATCCGGCCAACGCGAACAGCGACCCGAGGAGCCAGCAACAGCAGGAGAAGCACGGCCACGCGTACAGGTCCGCGCAGACCGCCCAGGACAAGAGGAGCAGGCTCAGCAACGTGATAAACAATCTCAGGAAGAAGGTCCCTGACACGAGGGACTCGCCGAGGAAGGAGGAGGACGATAGGAACAGCGTCGAGAGGAATCTCGAAACGCTGGAGAAGTATGTGATGACGGTGTTGAACGGCGTGATCAAGGACGAGGAGGACGACGACAGGGAGGCGTTGAGCAAGAAGAAAGAGGCGGCGAGCGAGAAGAGCAACGAGGCGGAGAAGTTGCCCGAGGACCAGGAGGACGAGGACTCCAAGGGTCCAGCGGCCAAGTTCGAGCCCTCGAGGCCCAACGAGAGCAGAACCGAGACAGCTGTCGTCCCGTCGGAGCAGCCTGACAAGCCTGAAGCGAAGGAGTCCCCCTCGGAGCGGCAGAAGGAGAATTCCCTGAAAAAAGAAGAGTTTAATCGTCAGGAGAATATCAACGAGGGTGTCAGCGAGGAGAAGGAGCCCAAAGCGGACGAAGAGGACGTTTGCAGGATCGACAGGTGTTCCTCCAGGGAGGCAAAGTCCGAGGAGCAGTCTGTCCTCAGCGAGACAGCGAGGAACGACGAGGATGAGAGGAAAGAGAATCGTTCGTTGGGGACTATCATCATGGAGAGGCTGAGCGAAAGTCAGTCTGACGACAAGAGTAACGTCGATCCTGTCAGGGAGGATTGCAGGGAATCAGTGCCTGACAACGTGGAGCTCAGGAACGTGTGCAGGGATCTGTTGAACGACCTTCTGAACGGCATCAATCAGCTGATCGACGAGAACAGCCAGGAGAAGCAGCAAACGAGGTCGTTGGAAAATTCGACGGACGAGTCCAGAGACTCAAGGAATCAGGAGTTCTCCATGACGAGCTTGCACTGTAGCCTGCCCCTGGACAAGGTGGCCTCCGTGCTGCAGAACTGTCAGACCGCCGAACTGGCTGTCCCACAATCGCCCTTGTCCTCTTCTTCGACGTCTTCCTCCTCCCAGAGCTCGAAATCTCCCTGCAAGCCGCCCTCTCCCACGGTCAGGCATCTCTGTTTGTACTGCGACAGAAAGTTCATGTCGATATCGCTTAGGCAACGACACACCGAGAGAGTTCATCAGCAGGGAGGTGGCAGGAGGTCGGAGAGGAACTCGAGGAAACCGTCGCAAAACTGCCAGTACTGTTCTGACAAGTGTGCAGAGAGTCTCGAGGGGCTGTTTCAGCACATGGTCGGCAGCCACGGGGACAAATATCATGGGTGTCTGCAGTGCTCGACCAGATACCTCACCAGGGAAGCACTGGCCGGCCACATGAGCGAGAATCACGGTGTCAGTGTGGAGAGGAACCTTCAGATTCAGGTAAGAGACAGAGCAACTGAATTGTTCTCGGATGGAAATTCAAGGACACACTGTATAAAAACATAAACAATCTCCGAATCAAGCTCGAGCTGTCGATTCTACTTGGTATTAAATTCAACTTTCAACTTTCCTTTGCAGGAGAAAATGAAGGAAGCCTCGCCTAGCAAGGAGCAGGGCAACCAAAGTCCTCGGGATGTCCCGAATCCCAAAGAGAGAAGGTCGGAGGACACCGATCACGAGCATCGAACGGAACCTACGAACATCCTTTTGAAGCCGGTGCACCCAGCGAAGGACAACTTCAGCAACCCGGGCAGCCCAGAGTTCGACAGCTCGTTCTACAGCAGCGTGAGCTGCAACATTCGCGAGAACCTGCTCCACCACCTAGACGGCAAGCTGCAGAGCTCCTCCTCCTCGTCAACAGTCACGTCGTCCACCGGTTGTTCGTCCGCGACAGACGCGAAGCCGCAACAACAGCAACAGCAGCAGCAGCAGCAGCAGCAACAGCCACAGCAGTCCTTCTACGAGCACAACGTCAGCCAGATCCAGTTCCCCATAGACATCTCGTTGACGGCGGCAACGCCAGTCTATTCGAAAGAGTACGGCAACGAGGAGTACGAAAACAACAGCGAGTACGCGCAGAAACCCGGCAAGAGCAACAGGTCTCATCCGCGGAGAGTGTCGTTCGAGAAGTACAACTTCCCGAGGAAGTACGACGGAAAGGAGCAGTGGACCTGCTCGATAAAGGACCTGAGCAAGTTCGACATCTCGACGCAGCTCTCCCTGAGGAAGAAGCAACAACTGTTGAAGGACCTAAGTCTGAGCAGGCTGCAGCAGATCACCGTCCTCACTGCCTCCGAGATGGCGCAGAACGAGCAGTGTCTCAACTCCAGGGATCTCGAGGAAGCTGTCGTCGAAGTCGACAAGCCTCTGGATGTCGAGCAGGCCTCGGAAGGGAAACGCGACTGCACCGAGGCAAACGTGAAGCAGCTTCAGGAGACGGAGTTCACTGTGGAGTTCGGCAATTTCCTGAGGCTGAGGAAGTGGGACGAGACGACAACGTCCGAGGCGGCCAAGAAACAGGAAACCGTCTACGCCGAGTTAACCGGGGAATGGTCCAGACCGAGGATCTACGTTTGCGGTACCTGCGCTTCCAAACACGTGAGTTCACAATGATGATGTCTGAAAAAAAAATAAATAAATGGTTACGCTGAAACAACGTACAGGACACGCGGAGCCCTGTGTCTCGAATCAATTGTCTCGGAACGATGTTGAGATACGAAATGACCAATTCGTGGTCTTGCTTTTAACATCGTGTAAATTTATTGGAAATTTACGAGACGAGGAATTTTAGAAATTTAGAAATTTAGAAAAATACGAAAAGGAATTAATATTCATGGATTCACATTTTGTAATGAAGTTTGAAGAAAATTGGAAAATTACGTTCTTTTTTTTTTTTTTTTTGCAATAATTGTACGTACTCGTAAACTTCCCAATCATTTACCTTGACAAATTTGCGTTGACAACGAAGTCTTCAAAGTCGATTTCCACGAACTTTGTCTCGTTGGACAAAAGTCTCGATAGACAGTCGAAAGACTCGAGTACAGTCGGCCTTATCGAAACGACGGCATTCACGAGCGATTAGCTAATTAATCAGTCTACCTGATTGCTGACTATCGATCGGATTGCAGAGCAGTTGAAGGGACATCTCTTCATGTTGATTGACAATTAGCTGTCGTCGAACGAATCTCTATTGATCGTCCGAGCGAGATATTACCGTCGAGTCCAAGTCCAATCGTAATAACCGTGCTCTCGCCGATCGTTATTATCGATTGAGCTAATTAGGACGTCGTCCCCGTGAGATTGGCCCGTGAACTAGAACTTTAGATGGACGCTCGAGATTAGTTCAGAACTCTCGTACGCGGCTCGATCGTGTCACCAAAAATTAAACGCGCGAAATTTCATCCCGACTCGCATTTACGAAAGAAATAATTTCTACGTAAGAAAAAAAAAAAAAAAAAAGAAAAAAAAAATTCATCGTACGTACAATCGTCACTTACCAGGCACGTTCTCGTTGCAGGTAACTTTGAAAGAAATGGAGGACCACAAAGTGACCACACATCCGAACGTCTGGTGTTCTCACTTTGAGTTCTCTGGTGATCAAAGGGAGCTTTACAAGCATCTATTTCTACCAGGGAAGGACGTGCCCACGGCGAAAGCGAGGGCGGCCATCTTGGTCGAAAAGGTGTGCACCAAGTGCTCCAAGAATTGTACCACGCTACCAGAATTGCACAGGCACATGCTGGAGTGCGGCGGGGACCAGGCATGGTTGCTTGGCCTGTTCGGCAATGGGAAGAAGAAGTGCAAGTGGAGGCCGTTCGGCAGCCGCAGCAGGAGGCGAAGGCAGCGGGGAATGAAGAGGAACATTCAGAACTCGCAGACACCGAGGGTGAACGCGCCGAGAGAGAAGCAGCCTACGGGGCCGAGGGTCAGGCCCAGCGACAGTGAGTGACTTCATCTTTTTTTCTTTTTGACGGTATAAAAATTTCCAAATCTCAATTTATAGTCCAAAGTTTCTTTTTATAAAAATTTCCAAATCTCAATTTATAGTCCAAAGTTTCTTTCATAAAAATTTCCAAGTCTCAATTAGTCACAGTGTGGACCAGAGGGTTCCCAGACTACAAAACTCAAGTCAGTTCAGCGCAAGAGGTTAAACGATCGTCTTGTAACTCTCTGCCTCTCTCTCTCTCTCTCTCTCTTAAGGGATGGATTTAATGTCCTGTGAAATATAAATTTTAATTGGCTCCTATTGCAGCGCGAATGCGTCGAGCTGCCATAGAGCGTGGCCAAGTGAATTACGCCATCGCATCGGATTGAATTTTAACTTTGCGCGAAAAAAGAGGAAAAAAACACGCGTTTGGGGACGGAGAGTCAGTGTAACAAGGTTTTAATTTCCTACGAAGTCAAGGTGAATCGTATTACAACGTTTTTTTTTTTTTTTTTTTCTGTTTCGAAACGAGATTTCGGTTTCGAGGAAAAGGAATTTGTAAAAAGAAAAAAATAACAAATGGCAGCACGTGCTTTGGAAATTGATAAAAAGGGACGGTAAACAGGAACGTACGGGGTAGAGGAAATTCGTTAACCACGTCAGAGAAGCGTTTAATTACTGCACTAATTAAAACTTTGTTTCATTTAGCTGAGTCACTTATTCGACAACTTCCCTTGCCGCGCAATAATTACGGCCGTGGCGAGCCACGATCATTTGAAACTTATTAATCATGCGTCGATTAATATTAAACGTATCCAATACGCGTGCACAAATCCTGCTGTCCAAAGTGTCGAAGCAGAATTTAAAAATGGCACTAATGGAACTAATTTCGGCCAATTTCTCGCGATTTTTGTCAGTTAAAGGAACCTGAATTAAGGGAGACTGTAACAATATCAATCCATCACTGAGCTTCACTTTGGATCAAAATGATCTAAAAAGAAAAGAAAGAAAGAAATAACAGAGATAAATGGTTCATTCTTCGTTCTTTTGTTCGTAGGGGAGAGTATACAAAAGATGTTGGCCAACTTACCGCCCAAGAGGGCAACCAGGAAGGTGTTGCAGGACACCACACTGAGAACCCAGGGCAGATTGCGCACCGTAAGTGTTGAATGTTCGAACGATTCCATTAACCTTGTCCTAAATGTTCAGTTTTTTTTGGTGTTTATGTGGTTTTATTGTCGAATAACACCGCAATCATCACCCAAGTGCTATTCGTACTAAGCGGAATTAACTGTTACGCACGCTAATTTGACAGACAACTGAAACAGAGTCCGAGAATCTCAAAACACAATCATCCGGTAGGGGGATATATGTGTAATTCTGTTGCGTGACGAAATTAGAAATTACAATCACTGAAATTACACGTCATTCAACGTATTTAGGACTGTTCGTTTCGAAATTAAACACACGGTCATGATAAAGTGACACACTTCTCAGCTTTAATCAAAATTTCTTTCCTTCTGCATAAAAAGGAAAAGTTACTCAATGAATTTGTAAAACAGATATAGTTCTACAAACGTAGCAGTCCTTTGAACTACGTCTTCCTGTAATTTTCTTTTAATTACTAGCGATAAGAGAGGTACAACGAAAAACAGTCACGTGTCTGACCTACGTAATAATTGTATTTTCCACAATTTGAGTAGCTTGAAAGATTTGCGAAAGATTAGGGACTTTGAAGGTTGAGAAAAGACATTTCCTCTTCTTTTCTTCACACTGGAACGATGAAAGTTTCAAGCGTTTCCAAGAAAAATTCGAAATACCAATACACAGTTCTAATTTCAACATTTATAAGACTGGTCTCTAAATCCCAAACTCCTGTAAAAAAAAAAGACAAAGTTTATCGGCGAGAAAGTATACTTGTTCGATAGCATAATTCAAACCCGGAGAAACTGGCGCGAGCAACGTAACAGACGAAAAGGACCCTGTGTGGTCGCGCGAGGAAAGAGAGAGTCCTGAGTGGACAATTTGCGATTGCCAGCGTGCCAACGAGAGTTGGCAAGACGGGAAGCACACACGGTGACCCGAAAAAGGCGGGGCCGGAATTAGGTAAACAAGTACGTAGCTCGCGACGAGCAGCTCCAGTTAACGGGTGACCCGAATCCTCGCGAAAAAGACGAAACTCGATAATAATAAGGCGATAACGCGCGCGGGGCCGGCTCCGGCTGGACGGCACGGATATATAAGTGGAGTATTGATTACCCAACCACACGGCTATGTGTCCGTGCACACGTAGGGGAGAATACGTGGCGACGTAGCCACGCCGGCAAGACGGTTTTCACGCTATCTCAGGAAACTGGACGACTCGTTGGATGGACAACACTCCCTTGACATTTTTGTGTCCAGGGCAGGATGATTATGACATTTGAAAAAGTCCCCCCTCGGGTCGGCTCGTCCGATTCGAATCGATCAGCCCTGACAAAGCGGAGCGACGGCGGAGAGTCTTGGCATTGATTTCTGTCAGGACAGAAGTATCATTTGGTACTATGTAGATATTGGGGAGTTGGAATCGTTGAAGTTAAAGGGAGTTAAAGCTTTGTGCTCTGAGCAATTATCTGGGGGATTTGTATGTTAAAAGTTGGGAATTAGAAATAGTTGGGATTGAGTTTTCAAAGCACGGGGGAGATTTTAATACTTTAGGAGATCCTAATGTAAGGTTGGCGACGTAGAATTGGGATGGAAAAGCTAACTCTATATTAGGAGCTAGAATGATTAAAGTTCGTTCTTTGTGCGTTTGATGAATTCTGAAAATTATTGAGGAATTTCTTGAAATTTAACTACAAGTACTTGGAATTGGGCTGTGAAAGCTTGATACTTTAGGAGATTCTAATATAAAAGTGATAAAGAATTGGGGTGCAAGAGGGAAAGCGAAAGTTGGAATGTTAAAGTTCTTTGCATTTAGGAATTTCTTAAAATTTAGGCACTAGAATTACTTGCGATTGAGTTTTGAAAGCACTTTCGGAGTGAAACACATGCAGAATAGAAATTTTTGGATTATAGAAACTGACGAGAACATTTTCAAGTAAAAATAAAATCATGTATTTAGGACTGATTTACATTTTCAGAATATTAATCTAACAGTCGAAAATCAAGAAATGTAGAGATCGTTTACTATTCAAGAATTTTTCATTTCAATAAAAAAAGAAAAAAAAAGAAAGAAAGAAACTAAATAGTTAATGTCAAATTTTGAAATACTCGCGATCCACAAGATTACTAAAATCCACTTCTAAAGGAGCAAAAGTGTTCGCAATTTTCGCTCAAAGTGAGGTGGGCAGACTCCTCAAAATAGAACTTAACTCGAACCACAATACCATAATAATCCCCCGTAGCACATTGTCCTACGTAAATCACGTAGAAAATGGTTGTTGACCGACCTTCGTCGAAAAAGAAAAAAAAAAAAAAAAAAAGAAAAGGAAACTTGCTCGAGTTTCCGCGAGCAGCGAGCGCAACAGGCACACACGACGCAGTACCACGAAGGCTTCTTTGCCGTCTGTACAGGTGCAAACCAGGACGAGGCCGCGGCTGGTCGGCGAGAATTCCAGCGTCTCGCGAATGTCCCGGAACAAGGCTGCCCTGAGGAACAAGCTGTTGAAGAACGCCAAGTCGATCCAACGGAACCGGTGCCGGATTGACAATATCTCTGCGGTGATCGAGAGCGTGGTGAGGAACTATGCTCCCGACTTGTCGAAGCCCACGTTGGGAGAGAGGGAGGGTGTGGAGGCACGAGAGGTCAGCACGACGAAAACCACTGATCCGGAGAGGGAAACCAAAGAGAAATCGGTCGACGGGTGTTCCACTGTCGGAGGAGACGACGCGCCCAACAGAGCGAAAGCGACGAGAGGGCCGAGGGTACTGGGCAAGAAGCGAAACGTGAGGACGAAAGACGGTACAGTGAGGAGCCTGGACCAGGCAAAGAGGACGAGCCTGAAAGCGAAAACAGCGAGGACGGTTTCGAAGAACGTGTCCGAGACGAAGACAGAGACGCTTGGCGATGGTGTTAGAACGTCGAAAACCAGCAAAGCTTGTCCGAAAAGTTTGGAGAAGGAGGCGGAGGCAGAGGGAACCGAAGCTAGTCCAGGGGAAGCGAGATCCCCCAGTCTGAAGAGCAGCAAGTCGTCCACGCAGAGCGGCATACCTAAACGAAAGCGTCCGGTGGATCCTGTCGCCTCTCTGAACGCCTCTATCAAAGCCAAGTCGCAGCTGAGGACCCAGGACGGGAAATTCGCCAGAAATCCCAACAAGGAATCCGCTTTGCCTCAGAAGTTCCCGGAGGGTGTAGGGCTCAGGTGTCCGGTCTCTGGTCAAGTCTCGACGACGACAGCCAAGGAACGAGGCGGTGAAACTAGTCCGGAATCGTCGATCACCAGGTCCAAGTTGAGGGCAGTTACCAAATGTAAGAACGGCGACCAAAATTTGCCGAAAAGAACGACCAGGCTGTCGTCTGACAGTGACAAGATGCCCACGCTGGAGCCAGCTGTTCGAGCGTCGTCCCCTACGGACGAGTATCCGGAAACCTCGGCGAACGACCTGCCGATTTTATCGCCAGCCACGCCGGCTTCTGCTCAGGAGAAGAGCCTGCGGGGCGGTAAGGCGCTGATCGGCAAGTGTTTGGACGACAAGGAAAATCCCAAGAAGCAGGAGACTCAAGAACCAGAAAAGGGAACCGGAAGCAGTTTGAAGGAGGAGAAGGAACAGCAAAAGCAGGGTAAAGGCAGGAGAGCGAAGAACGACGCGAAAAGTTTGAACAAAACCGCGGAGAATATCGACGCGAAGACCGACGTGTCCAAGGAGGTGACCAAAGGATCGATCAAAGAGAAATTCAAGAGAAGGAGCGCCCCGGCCAAGATCTTGAATGCGGAGGAAAAGAAAACAACCGGAACCACAGCAAGAAACGTGGAGGAAACGAGTCTGAAGAAGGAGGTGAAGCAGAAGAAGGAAGAAACCGTCAAAAGCAACATCAAGACCAAGTTGGAGAGCGTTCTCGACGACGACGACAGTCCCATAAAGATCCGAAGCGTTCCGTTCGAGGTAAAGAAGCTGATCGGATCCGACAGCAAGGAGGATCTGCTCACGAAACTGGTTTTGACTACTAGGATCGCCACGTCCAAACGTTGCCTGAGGCAACCAGCGTCGAAGTTCAAGCTGGAACAGGGCAGGAGCAAGTCTCGAAAGGATCCGGAGGTGGAGAGGGCTCTGAAGTTGGACTCGGGATCGACCTCAGACGCGTCTACGAAGAAAGAGAAGCTCGACGCCAGGAGAAAATCACTGAGAAAGACGGACAGGAAAGACACGAAGAACGAAAGAACCGTCGCGGAAGAAGCCAGCAGGATGAAAGACGAGGTGAAATCAGCAGCCAGAGGACGGAGGAGCAGCAGTCTGACCAACGAGAGCAAGTCACTGATGCCGTTGTCGTCTTTCGACGTGCAAACTAAGTCGGAAACCAGCGTGAATACGAACAACGTCCAGAATACGGACAAGAGACAAACGAGGGGTTCGACGTTGAACTCCGGTGAAATAGACGTTGTCCAGAGTGAAGACTCGAGTCTGAAGAAGAACGTTTTTGGAAAACGACGAGGCAGAGTCAAGTCCAACAACAACGACGTGTCTGATAAAAGGAACACCCAAGAAGTATGCCAAACGAAGAACGAGGAAAGCGAAGCTGCTAACGACATCGACTCGAAGGAAGCGGAAAGGAACGAGGCGAATTCCGATAACAGAGAGACTGTGTCAATTGGAGGGACGAAACTGGCCAAGGAAGAGAAGGTAGATCATCTATTGGAGAGCAGAGAAAGGAACAATGGGAAGGAAAATTCACTGGCAAGGCCAGCGCCCGTTCAAAAGTTGAAAGTTGGCAGGCCCAGGAAATCCTGGGGTGCCAGGAAAGATCAGGCGTCGAAAAAGTCCTTGAACAACGTGATTGGGATTCTCACAGAGGGCATAAATATCCCTGTGGACGCGCAGCCGAGTGTCCCGAGCACGCAGACTGGTACAGACAACGTGGAATCCGGAGTATCTCTTCAGACTGCCACGCCACGGGCCGACGATGGTGCTAGCAAGACTCCAAACCTGGACAAAAGTGTCAAATCTTCTGAGAACGCTGTTTTCGAAGTGTTGGCAACTGTTCCGGATAAATCAGTGATTTCCAACGAGAACGATCCGAAACAAATTGAAGCTACCAAGGAGCAGAATTTGGAGAGACCTACGGAGAAGATTCAGAGAGGTGAGTCGTCCTCGAACGAGGACGAAGAACAGTCACCGGCTAATGACATTATTCTGGACTTGTCGAGAAGGAAACAGAAGGGGAAAGGATCGTTTTTGGAGAAGATTGTTTCGAAAATAGCAAAACAGAAGGACGCGTTGTTGGAAGGTGAGGTTGGTTCTCTGCTGGACACGGCCGCGGACGAGCTCACCAGTATTCTGAATGAAGTCGGGCCGGTCTTCTCGGAGAACACGGAGACTTCGGGCGAGACGAGAGCTGCAACGAAAGCGGAAAAGATCAGAGACACGGCGCAGGGAAGTGAAAAAATCGAAAGATCGTCCGACGAAAGTTGCCCGAGTCGGGACAATTTGGTCCAGAACCTAGGAAACGAAGAGAACGAAGAAAAAATTTCGGAGGAACCTGCAACAGAATTCGAGTCAAAAGTAACACCCAAAAGTGGAGAGATAGCTGACCAAGAGGCTGAAACCAAAATGCTGATGGAGGAACGAGAGAAGACCTCTTTTATGGACGAAAAGGAGAATTGTGTCGATGGATCGAAAGAACAAGATGGCGTCGTCCCCGCCGAAACCAGCTCTGCTATAAATAATAATAAAGTTTTATCACCTGCCATTGAAAACACTTTGGAAATTTCAGCGAGTAACGTCGCGGATGCACCTTCGTCGAGGCTGAATGGAGAAAAGGAGAAACACGAAGAGGTGGCCGAGGAGGGAAAAGCGAAAAGGAGATCGAAGAAACGATCGTTGGATGGGAGATCCAAGAAGAAGACCGTCGAATCGACAGACAATTCGATAGAAGAAAGCCTTGTCTCCAACGAGTTGCATCCTCTGACTGACTCGATAGAATTAATCGAACAATCAAAGCAAGTGCCTTCCGCTGAAGAGAACATTCAGGACGACCTGTCTACCGAGGTTGACGGAGACAAGATACAACGCGAGGAACGTGGAACGAAGGACATCGACACGCCTGAAAATTCCAATGAAATTGTCACGGAACTCGCCGTTGATCCTGCAAACAATACAGAAGAACGTACGAGAAAGGACAAGAACGAAGAAGCAGAGCAACTAGAAGAAGTTGCTGATGCAACGAGAACTAAGGAAGAGAATTCGTCGAAAAAGAGGAGATGTTGCGTGGAAGAGGTGGATCAGTATTCCGAAATTCATGTACCGATCAGGAGATCTTACAAGAGGAAGTCGCATCCTACGGAGGAAGAGAAGGTGAGTCACATCTCCGAAGAAGAGATATCTACGAGCGAAGTGACGCTGGAGAACGCGAGAGGGCCGAGAAGAAGGTCGTTCAGAACGAAATCCACGGTTCGAACAAAGAGCGAGGAAAAAACGGCAAACGAAGACGAAAATAACACTGCCGTTGGTGTCAGTGCGATTAGCATAACTACTGAAAACACTGAACCATGGAAGAATGTGGAAGAATCGTCGGAGAAACGTGAAACTGTGCTCGATGAAACTCCAAGACAGCAGACGACGTTGTCGGATAGTCTCGAAGAACACTCGAAAGAAAAAGAAGAGAATTCTAGCGCGAAAAACTCGGAGGAAATGAACAAAGAGCAGATCGATCAAACTTCTTCTTCTATCGAGCTAGAGAAGACCACCGAAGAGGCACCAGTTGTTGCGGTTAAAGTGCCGAAAAAACGCGGCAGAAAGAAGAAGTGTCTGACGCAGTCACCAGACACAGTTTCTCGAGAAAATCCCAAGCAGGAACCCGCCGCGACGAGTCAACTTCCGCCCAGAAGATCGCTGAGAACGAACAAGCTCGTGGAGGAGGCCGAGAGTCAGAGCAAGAATTTCAATCATCTGCAGGTCCCTTCGTCGAACGTGGAGCCGTTCAAAGTTCCTGAAGTAACCGAGCTGCTCCAACACACGAAGAAGAGGACGTACAAGAGGAGATCGACCACCGACGAGAATTCGGACGTTCAGAGCAACTGTCCTCGAGCAGAGCCGGAAGCAGATGGTGCGGAGTGTTCGGAAGAGAAGAAGAGCTCGACGGAGAAGGATGATCAACCGGAGAACTTGTGCCAGAAAGACCCTGTCGAAGAAAAAAAACACACCGCCGAGAGTGAACGCGACGACCTGGAGAGATCGAGCTCCGCCGGTTCCCTCGATCTAATGGGCAAAACGGAGCAAATTGGCAAGACTAGAACCTCGAAGAGGAAACAGCTGTCTTCGGAAGACCTGCCGGAACAAGGACGACTGGAGAGCGCGGACAACTTGTCAGAGAACTCCTGCGTGAGCGACTTCAGCTACCTGAGAAGGAAACGCTACTCGAAAAAGAGGAAGGAGCTTCGCGCGTCGCGAACGGAGGACACGTCCGCAACTGACTCGGAGTCCGTCGACGTCGAGAGGAGCAGCAATAGAAGGCAGATCCTGAAAAGGAGAGCCAAGAAGAACATAATCTTGGTCGACTACCTGATGGACGTCGAGAGGAGCACCAACAGACGGCAGATCCTGAAGAGGAGAGCCAAGAAGAACATAATCTTGGTCGACTACCTGATGGACGACTTCGACATTCCGATGGACATTCCAGATTGCGTGGAGGACGTGACCGACGCGAAGAACGACGTCGATCAGGAGCCAGAACCGAAAATGAAACCGCCGAACGAGGAGAAATTGGTCGAAGAAGCTGTGTTATCGAACGAAATGTTGGACGAGAAGCTTGGTGAGGACAAAATTGAGAAACAAGACGAAGATTTTAAAAGGTCGGTTGAAGATGAAGAGGAAGAGGAGGAGGAGGAAGAAGAGGAGGAGGAAGAGGAGGAGGAGGAGGAAGAAGAGGAGGAGGAGGAGGAGGACGACGACGACGACGACGACGAGGAAGAGCTGAAAAACGAGGATCAGATGGACGAGAAGCTGGATGGTCTCTCGCAAACGCAGGATAACTTTCAATCGCCGAAGAAGAGGGCGGCTGGCAACTACGTGGTGGTCCACAAGAAGACGGGCGAGATTCTGATCGTGGAGAAGAGGAAGAAGCTGACGAAGGAGGCAGCCAGGTTCTTCTGCGACGTCTGCACCACCAGTTTCACCAGGAAAAGCTCCCTGAAAAAGCACAATCAGTCTCAGTCTCACCTGTCGCAGATGGTCAAGTCGAAGAAGAACGCGGCGTCGACGGCGGAGGACGTCGAGAACGCGGAAGATCCCTTCGCCGCCAGTCAGAACGACGTGTCCAGCGACGAGAACAGGGTCGAATCAGCAGACGAAGCGACGAACGTTCCTTCGGAGCTGAGGGACGACCAGGAGAATGAGAACGACGCTTCGAAGTCTGCGATTCCAGAGCCCCTTTGCAGCGATCTCTGCTACAGCAACCACCTGGAACAAAATCCCCTGATGAATTCTCAGGCCACGCATCAGCACACGCTGGAGGACGAGCTTCTCGACGAGGAGATCTGCAAGATTACGGAGAACATGAATCACGACGAGTACGTAATTACCGATCAAGTGTCTTCCGAGCCGGAGTCTATATCCACGCCGGTGAAAATGGAGGTGAAGATGGAAGACATCGGGAAGAGAAAGAAGCACGAGAAGAAGAAAGAGAAGGCTAAGAAGAAGAGCCTGATCGACGAGCAAATTCTCCTGGACAGCCCCGAGTTGGAAAATCCAACAGACGATACGTTGGTCAGCGTTCTGGGCGCGAACATGTCCATCAAAATTGCTAAATCCTCGTGTCTGACCGCGTCAAAGGAGAGTTCATTCGAAGGGTCGAAAACCGACATTCTCAGAACGAGGGAGAACGACTTCCAAGAACCGTGTTTAGACGGTTCGCCGAAACTGCAAGAGAACAGGGACATGGACATGGATATGGAGATTGAGGATGCGCTGTTGAGGACAGAGGTGAATAAAATCGTGGAGGACGACAGTATATACAAGATGAACCCTGAGGAAAGGAACGACGATTTCCCGAGCGTCCGACTGGACGACACTGACACGGTGAAGAATCAACCGTACGAACGTTTGAGCCTGAAACTCACCATAAACACGCGCGGAATCGAAGTCTGTAAAGATACTGACCTCGACAAGTGCGACTACTCGAGCGCGTTCGTCGAGACATCCGAGGATGTGGATCGCAGTTCTGAGAGAAATCACGAGAGCGCCCGAGCCGAACCGGTCGAGGATTGCGATTACGTTGAATCGAGAACAGAAGGATTTGACGAAGACTCGAGCTCCTCAACCCCATGCGAGAGTCAGAGAAGAGAGAGAAAAAGCTCTTTGGAGAGCAACGTCGACGAACTGGACATTATTTCCAAAGTGCAAAGGGTCACGGAGACATTGGAGAACGTGGAAGATCAACAGACAGAAAGCGAGAAGCAGAATGAGTCAGGGAAAGCGCCACATCATGGGAGATCCAGGAGAGGCAGAGACAAGAGACAGTCGGAAGAAACGGAAAACAACTCGGAAGGTGAAGCAACGAAGAGCTCAGTTCCCAGACATAAAGTTGATCAGAATGAGTTAGCAACGAAATTTTCAGAGTCAGAGGCTTTTGCCATCGACGAATTCAACACAGGTGAAAAGTTAGAGCGCTTGGAAGAGAGTTCTATCAAAAATGACAGCGTTCCTATCCTTGAATCACTGGAGAATCAAAATGTACATGAATTCAACGAATCGGAAGAGTTGGAAAGCAAGAAACTCGAAGAAAATCCAGAATCCGCGGAAGAAACTACTCTAAAACAGTCGATGGAACAACGAGTTACTGAGGAAGAGATTGTACGGTCAGAAGACATAATCAAATCCTTGGAATCTATAGACGACGACGAAACTTCGTCGTCCTCCAGTTTAGCGGACAAACCGTTGTCGCAAATTTTACTAGAGAGGGTACAAAAATTAGACGCGTACAAGGATCAGATGAAGGAGATCCCCTGTTGCACGGACATTCCGACGGATTCTGTAAACGAATCGAAACCGGAGGCAAAGTCGAATGTCGAGAACGAACGCACGGTCGACGACGATTCTTCACCCGCGAACGAACCGATCGAGAAGGAGAAACCAGACGACAAGGATTCGAACGTCAACGACGAACAGGCGAAGATCGCGTCGGAGGAAGAGGCGTCGAAAACGATGGAGGACAACTCTGACAAAGACTCGAAGATCTCGTCGGAGTCGGAGAATAGCGAGGCAGTTCCGTCGATGAAAATCATACCGAACGAGAAAGAACTGGAAGAATCGGAGATTATTAGTAACGTCGGTCGAAAATCAAGTGCCAGCGATCGTCAAATTTTAGGCAAGAAAGCCACCAAGAGCCACAGATACTCGAGTGCGAAGGACAACCATAGGAGATCCAGAGGCAGGAAGTCTTCGATGAGGAGCAAGCTGGCCGATCTGACCAGCGAGAGCGACGACAGTGAGAACGAGGACAAGACCGAGTCGCGGAACAAGAGCAAGATCGTGAAGAGCGTGTTCGGCAGAGTGTTCGGCGGCGAGAAGGCGGACAAAGTGAAGGAGGTGCTGAACGACTGGGTGTCCAAGTCGGAGGACGACTCGGACATATCTCGGACGTGTTTCAAGTATTCTAAGGACTGCACGAACGAGAAGAACGGCAAGAGGCACTCGGTCTCGTCCTCCGCGCACTCCAGCCCCAGGAAACGTTCTGGGAAACGATCGAAGAAGAACTCTTCCTCGGAGAGAAACAAGGAGAAGAACCCGGTGTACCAGGAGAACCAGGTAGACGAACACCATTCCGGAAGACACGTGAGATCAAAGAGCTCCAACAACAAAAAGAAACACGACACGGAGGCGTCCAACAGTTATTTCTTGCACCTGCCGGCGACCAAGTGCCGGCTGAGCAAGAAGAGGGCGGAGGAACTGATCTCCAGGACGTTCGAGGACGACTTCACCGAGGCGAACGTCGACAAGAGTCAGAGATCGAAGCACAAGGAGCCGAACTATGGACTGAGGAACCAAGGTAAACCCGACTTGACGATCAAGGACAGCGGCTATGGGTCCTTCAACTACGACGAGGATTCTTCCAAGATGGCGCCTATGGAGGATGACACCGCGGATGACGAACAGAAGATGGTCAAGAGGAGAAAACTGTCAGACGCCAAGAGAAGCAAAGGTAAGAGCGAGGAGGAGAGTTGGAAGGATCTAGTGTCGGAGAAGAAGGCTTCGAAGAATCCGAAAGAGTCGGACGATGAGGAGGACAGTCTCATGAAAGACGTTCATCAGAAAAGGAGCCAACTGATCAATAGGCTATCCGTTGACTTGGAAGAGTCCTCGCGCAGTTGCAGCAGCTTGGCGCCCAGTAGCGTGAGAAACAGGTCCCCGAGCATGGATAGGAACTCTCAGACCACCAGAGACTCCGACGTGGACGACGAAGAGGACGAGGATGCGGGTCATGGGCGGATCTCTCCGTTGTTCGTCTGTGGGACACCGAGAAGCTCCGTCGAGACGAGCTCCAACAGCGAGAACGAAGAGGAGGATGAAAATCTGGTCGCGAACGACGCCGTGACTAGAAAGAGCTCCAGCGAGTTTTCGGGGGAGAAGATCGTGATCAGGTCCCCGTGCTCGAGTCACAAGAGCGAAGTGGTCACCATCGCACCCACTGATGCCATAGAGGACAACGCTCTGGACGTGCCGCAGGAGATAGAGACTGCGAAGCCTAGACAGGGCAAGGTCCTGAACTTTGACGAAGAGCTGTTCGTCGAGTGTTGCTCCAGACTAAAGGCTACGACGGAAAACGAGCTTAGAGGAGCGAAGAAGATCAAGCTGGACCATAATGAAGGTTATCACAGAAAAGACGAACAGCAGCAAGGCTTCAGGGGGCCCAGAGATCGATGGAAGGACGTGGAAAGTCAAAACAGCCTGGGAAGTCTTCTGGAATCGGTCAACCAGGTGAGTATTCGGTACTGAGTGTTAATTCGAGTTCTGCATGTTTCTTTAGGTATTCGTGTTCTTTTTCATGTACATAACGTCGTAGTGTAAAATTTAGGATCCATGGCGAGACACGACGTCGTACCGGGCTGCTGTTTGAGAATTTCAGATCAGTGTAGTTTCATTAACGCAGTTATTACTAAATTCGCTTTTGTTTCAATTGTACTTCTTGTACTGTTTGCTTTTTGTGTGTCGTGCATGGCGGTTTTGTAATCAGCTGTCCAGTGGTAGAGAAAGGAGACAGTTGATTAAAAATATTTGGAAAATTTACGAAATTTATTTAGACACTAGGGTAAGTTTGATACAAGTTTTCATTAAACGATAACATTTAATTTTTCTACTCTTTTCGCCTCTGACTCACTATAAGTACATCATTCACAAACGCCTATATTTTGCATGCACAGTCTGTTTCTCGTTTCTCACATTTTTCAATTGTTGAAAACGCCTCGCTCAGTGATCTCACATTATATGTTTTGTGTTTTAGCTAAGAAAAAAAAGAAAGCTTACATACGCAGCTGTTGGTTACTTTTGTACATGCTTACGGAATTGTTTATCCCTGTAGGGGTGTTTTCTGAATAAGAATTGAATAAGAACCACGATGCAGTAAAGGGAACAAGGATGTTTTCGATCTCAAAATTTAGAAAGAGTTGCAAAGATACAAATTACTAGCGATTTTCTTTGTGGAATTTATTTCAGCAGCATCGAACTGAATGTGAAGAATTATTAGCTATCAGCTATTTGTAAAGCTGTAAAGTTTCAGAATTAAGATTTTAATAGTAAATAGGATTACACCCTTACACGGTATCTCTAAGAAGGGAATACTCTATATATTATTGTGGTAATGTTTGCAGGACCTATGAACCAGCTTTATACAGACAATGTCTCTCTCTCAGTATGCATGCAAAAGGTAGTTCTCTCCTTCCTTCGACATTTTTTAGCGTGTATGGTAGTTACGGGAATTTGTGCCTCCGAGAACGATATACTTTCTTTAACGTACATAAAACTGCGAGTGATCGATACTTATCATTAGCCAAGTAACTCTAATCGTTTTACCAATGTTTACTCCATCTTCGAACTGCTTCACGTGTTTTCCAAGATTAATTCTGTCACTTTGAAAACTCTCTCCAGTAGAAAAGAGCTTGCCGTTATTAACACTATCTATGTACATTAACATTATCTGTACAAGAACAAAAGACTCCTCATCCTTTATTTCCTGGAAAAGAAAAAAAAAGAAAAAAGAAAAATAACTGTCTTCTAGCCAGTTTTTCAAAGAAATTTTATTCACAAGTAGACTTAATTTTATACTGACAAACGTGTACCCTGTAGTAGTATTTTCCTTTTTTTTTTTTCTTTTTTTTTGTTAATCATATACCAGCTGTTGCAAAGTGGTCCACTTTCAAATGTCGAATGATAATAACAGAAAAACTCAAGTACATTCAGATATTTATGGATCAATCAAACAGTAGATTCCACAGCCTTCTCTGCAACCATGAATAACTACAATTTTCTTTTCAATTGCTCTCTGTACATATTTCGACACCTTTATTTCTAGATATCTCACAATTCTCAAATGGTCCACTCTGCAAGCAAGTGTCCAGCAGACACAGAAACTACAGACGTAGGATACCCAAACACTCACCAAAAGAACAGACAGAACAGACGTTGCGAGTGACCAAGTGTTTCACCATGTTTGCTCTATTCCAGTTGTTGGGCGAGGAGATGTACAGCACCAGGGAGAGGGACTACGCGAAACGAGGTGGCCGAAACTTGCGGAGCGAACATTCCAGCAGGTCGGCCAGCCCTGACACGTCCAGGGCTGACAACCTGGGTTACGAGGACAGCCTGGACGTTGCGTTCGAGCACAACAACAAGCTGAGGGACAAGATACAGCAGCGGATGAGAGAGTCAGAGAACCTGATTGCCAGTACCTTCAGCCAGAAGAGCAATAACGATATTGTACGTGAGCAGCGTACATCGAGGAACAACGAACTGAACATTCTAACGAACTCGTACTCTCGTCTGCAGGATCAGAAACATCTGTCCGGCCCGAATTTGTCGAACGGCGGCTACAACGAGCCTCTGCACGTCAAAGGACTGCAGGACGAGCACGGGGCGAAAGTGAATCTCGATTCCTCGGGGCTCAAGGGCAAGATGAATTCCTCGTTGGGTGGTTTGCTGGACAAGGCACTGTCCAATCTGCTGCACAGCAACGAGAAACACGATCACAAGTGAGTAATTTGCCAGGGAATTTAGCTCTGAAGAGAATAATTATGAATAATTGTGTTGGTTAATTGGGTGAGAGTAAGTTTGGGCATTCGTTGGTAGTTTTAAATCATTTTGCCAGGGTATTGCTGACAGCAATTACTGGCCCCTTTTGTGCTCCACATTTCAACAAGCGACACAGGATTTTCACAATTTGCAAATTCAAAAGTCTGCAGTATGTTGTATATATATGTGTATACACGTGTATACATAAATGTGTATGAAATAAAGTACCTATCTTTAAAAAAAAAAAATTGCAATTCATACGGTAGATCGAATATCAAAGCCAGTTTTTCATTTCCACACCTGTTGATTGCGCCTTTGATCGGCCGTGTTATAATTCCTTGTTTTTGTCTGACGAATCGTTAACACGCCGTTACCGCCATTGCGAAGTTTCTCCGAACAACGGACATTCTGCCCCGAATCCCCACTCTGTCATCCAACGACAGTTTTTTTTTCGTGTTTGCGAAAATCCATTTCAAAAAGTCAACTTCGAGAGATCTGTGTACCGATGTCTTGCATCGTTGTGTAAAAATATCAAATAATACGTGGAATGAAAAAAATTACAGGTAGCATCCAGGATCTGTCTCGCAAGGAGACAGCTTTGACAAATTTTTTTCTAACGTATTCGCTCATTTTCGTCGATACTCATTTTTATATACTCAATTTATCTTCTTTTCAATTTCAATATGTGATAAAATTCGTGAAAAGAAGAAAAAATTTCCAAATTTTTCCAATTTCTCTTTAGAAAGAAAATATCCCTTTTGCAATGACATTTGACATGGGTTTCCAAACTTCTTCCCCGAAAAATCAGCACTCGTCGCCAGGTGCAAGCGTCGAAGCAGCATCGTCTGTAAATATTAATTTCTCGTCGAATGGTTGAATTCCTTCGTGTTGTGTATTGATTTGTCACTCCACCTATTCTCGACAAGATTGCATACTATCTCCGCACAACAACTGCTGGAAATATACAATCTGACGTTCGTTATTTGGCCAAACAGCAACTCAGGAGCTGGTGATGCATTATTCTCTTCCTAGTTTGGTCTAGCTGCTCCCTGGCTCAGAACAGGAAACGTGCAAGGATAGATATGTCCCAGGTGGTTGTAAATCCATTGCCTTGTAATGGTCACGTTGATACATGGCTCGAGACGAGATAGAACATATGCTATAAAAATTTTCACGTGGCAGTGTTTGACTTTATGAACTCGTATCATGCTTAACTGAAGGACTAGAGTAGGAAAAATATTTAAAAAAAAGTAGTAATAAAGGAAATTTAATGGAAGAAAATCAATTACTGAAATTATAGATCTATTGTTAATTAATTCTTAAATTTACTTCATGGATGATAGTTAGTAGAGGAAAACAATAAGAAATATTTAAGAAAACATAACAAAAAAAGACATGATATAGAAAATAATTTAGAAAAATATTAAAGGAGAGATACTCAAACGAATTACGTTTTGTGCACAGTGGATCCACGCCGATGAAGGTGTTGGCGGAGCTAGCGTGCGCCAGAGCCCCGACAACCACATCTGGAGACTCGGCGCTTCAAGAATCCGCCCAATTCGCGAAGACCACTCTGACCAAGGACACGACGCCGAATCCAAGCCCTGTGTCGGTGTCCAAGGACCTCCAGAAAAAGTCGAGGAATCCCATCAAGGAGCTGTTCGAAAGGAAGAAGGAGATGAACGAGAGGAAACAACAGGAAAAGTCAAAGAACGCGGCAGAAGCGGCGCTGAAAGAGCTGAACGTCCACAGGCAGAGGAAAACCAAGAAGACGAAGAAGCACCAAGACTTCCCCCTGATACGACGTAACGAGCACGGTGGCCTGGTGGAGAGGAAGAAACGACGGGATGGCTTCGAGAGGAAGGAGGAATTCGCATCAGACAGGATCAAGGACGTGTACGAGTTCGACGAAGAGGAAAGCCAGATGGAGCCGAATCTGGGTAGCGTGATGTCTTACAGAAGCAGGCCAGGATACGAGGTGAGCTGCCTGAGAACCAAGGAGGTGGATGTAGCTGGTTTGATGTCCAAAGCTATCGGGGATACCCTGGAGAACGGGAAAACCGCGGATGCACTGAGCACCAGGCTCGAGTCCATGATCGACAGGAAGTTCAAGGAGCTGGAGAAATTCGCTCCGAAGACGAAGGGTGCGCTGAAAGCATTCCAGAGCGAGGACCAACAGAGGCAGATCACTGGGCCCATGGACGAGTTCGTGGAGAGGAAGCAGCCGACAAAGGCCTCGAAGAAACTCGCGGAGCAAACAACTTCAACTCCGACGACGACGAAACACCCGAAACTAAAGAAGAGGAGCAAGAATTCGAAAAAGAAGGCGAGGAATTCGTGGTACGAGAACGACAGCTCGGACGAGTACAGAACTGCGGTGAAAACCGAGGACGTTGGTGTGGGGATCTCCAAGAGTCAGAGAACCTGTTCCAAGGGAAAGCAGAACATATTCGCGGAGCTGTACACTTCGTCGGAGAGCGAGTTCGAGGATGGGGACGCGGATTACGAGTCGAAGAGGCAGAGGAGAGTGAAGAAGAACAGCAAGAAGGAGGAGACAGAGCTGGAGAACGTGGAGCAGAGTCAGGAATTAGTTGACAAGTACACCTCCGACAACGAGGACCAAGCGAACGATTGGAAGGGCCAGGACTCGAAGAACGACGCCACGAAACACGACTGCGACAACAAGAAGTCTGAGTCAGAGATGTCTGACCATCCTCTGGTCATCGACGAAAGGAAAGACGTGGACGAGCAGAGGAACAGCGACGACGAAACTGAGAACCAGTACGAGAGGAACTTTGAAATGGACGACCTGTATAGAGAGGACAGTTCGATCGTTGACTCGGACATGGAAGATTCGGTCCCCGTAGATTCAGCGAAAGTTCCAGAAGAGGTCAGGGTGAAGAGCCCAAGCTTGTCGGAGAAGAAGACCGATGCTGAGAAGGTAGATTACATGCAGGAAAGCGAACTGATCCCACTGGAGGAAGCTTTGGACCTTCTAGACCAGGCTGACAACGAGAACTCCCTGGGAGCGAAATACGGTGATGTGGCTAGGCCTGCCAAACCAGACGACTGTCGTATCAATCCAGTCGTAACGGTAGAACCTGAAAACGAAACGTTCAATCCTGTCGACGATGCTGATTTGCTCGACAAAGTGGCCATCAAGTCTCCCACTCCCGTGGAAGAGCAGGAGGAGGAACCGGACAACGACCTCTTAGCGTTGCCAGAAAAATTGTCGAGCAACGAGAAACCGCAAAAGGAATCCGAAAATCTTCCGCTGCACGTATTCTTGAGTAGAAAGGTGCAAGAGTCGAAAAAGAGAAAGGAACAGCAGCTGAAGAAGATGCAGGAGGAACAAGAGAGGATATTGATGAACTTCCAGCCGACCAGGAGACAAAGGAAGTGCGCTATTGGAAAGCAGGGACTGCTAGCAGAGATCAGCAGCTCGGACGAGGAGATATCCCCGAGAGACAGGAGAGTGAACGACAGACTAGACCACGACAAGCCGAGGAAACAAAAGAGGGAATCGAAGGAGAAGAGGAAGGAGAGGTACATAGAAAAGAAGCACGAGCAGATGATAGCCAAGGAGCAAAAGGCCATCGAGGAGGAAATCCTCAGGGAGGTTGGAAAGAAAAAGGAGTCACTCGCGCAGAACAACACCGACGCGAGGAACATCGCGGACGTCAATGGTACGAAGAAACCGACGGAGGACACCGAGTCTGCGGAGAACAAAGTGCTGCAAGAACCGGCGCAGAAGAAGAAACATCAGACCAAAGAGAAACAAAAGAGGCAGTCCAAAACGGACGAAGAAGACCCGTACGCCAAGAACAACCACGAAGGGCTGAGCGATCTGGAGAACAACTGCAACAAGCCCCCACTGATTGAAACCAATCGCGAGATCACTGAGAATAATCAGGAATCGGCTACGAAACAGAAGAAACACTTCAAATCGCCGACGAAGCCGAGAAAGACTCCGAAATTAGACCAGAAAGTAATACCAGTGAGAAAGAGCAAGAACTCAAATGTCGACAGGAAAGCCAAGACAGACACCAAGGGGGTAAAGGACAAAGAACGAAGATCGTCCAGTGGGAAACGAGATTCCGACGACGAGGAACTGAAGACGACGAAATCTTGGAACAAAGTTGAAGAGGGAGTCGGAGTGGCGATCGGTCGACGAAAACGAGCTGCTGCCAATCAATTGTACTACTGGTCCAGCTCCAGCGACGAAGAGGAAATGCTGGAAATGGTTCCGGCGGTCGAGGAGGAGGAGGACGACCGCCAGGAGCAACACGGTTGGATCGTCGGTGACTCTCACAAGAGGATGATCACGATGCTCGCCATGGAAAAGCAGCTGAAAGAGAAACGGCGAAGAAGCGAGGATGAATTCGAGCCTGGCCGAACGAAGAGCAAAAAGCACAGGAACAGCACCTCTTGATACGTGTTCCACGACTAGGTTCGTAGCTGGAACGGAAATTAAAAGAACGACAGTTTCAACTGTAACAGGAACATGTTGAGTTCCTTTCTTGACACTCGCCTGGACGCTTAGAAGAGGCTTCCGAAGAGTACAGCGATACCTGCAACGGAAAAAGAAACAAAGATCAGAGACAGACGTGTGCAGTGAGGGAAGAGGCAGACGCAGGGAGAGAGGAAGAGAGAAAGAAAGAGAACGCAGGCAACTTTTGATACGCATTTCACCACTAGCTTTCTTTTTTCCAAGCGAAGAGCACACCATCGTTTTTTCTAAAAGACTTAGAAGTGGAGTTTAGAAGAACCGGATTTTTCTTAATTAACGCGCGTTAGAAACGAAACGACTAAAAAGATGAGAGACTTTTGTAAACGGAAGTAGCGTTAACCGGATCTTTTGATACTAGTCTTAGGCTCGCGGAAGTGAACGTAAGAGACGTTAGATTTGTTAAGGTAGCTAAAAGCACGCTAGATAGTAATGTAAATCCGAATCATCTTCGGCGACTATTATTTGTTTCTTTGCTGGTGGCAACAGCCAACAAAGCGACAGATTCTAATTGATTCACGAAAGAAGAATGTAGAACGTGTATCCGACCGAGAGCTGTAGAATCGAAGCAATTAGGGAAAAAAGAGACTATATCTCGCAACTTTTAGAAGAATCTAAACTACAATCGTTTGTATTTTACTTCGTGTCTTTTTTTTCAAATATACAAGAATTTAGCTTTCATTTATTTTTCTTTTTGTTCTTTCATTTTCTTATAGTTAGCGCTCTTTATAGTTTGAGGAACGTGGCGCTGCGAACGCTTATTTGTTCCATCGAGCACGGATGAATGTAATGTGACCTACTGCCAGAAGAAATTCCGATTTCTTTCGGTCATATATATATATATATATATTGTTATAAAATAACGTGAATCGAGATAACAAGAAACTATGTCGGAGGAATAGGCCACGTGTTGTGTGAGAAGAATGAAAAACAAAATCGCAAACTGTACATAGCTTGGCATTAATAATAATGATAGTAATAATAAAAAAAGAAAACGGTTAGCTCATATTATGTTAAAAATATAATAATTCCAAGCCCTTATAAATACCATAAGCATAACCATAATTTAGACTGAATGTGAGTAAATAGCGGACATTAAAAGAAATTTAGAGAAACAGAAAAAAAAGATTAAGAGCACCTTTAGACAATACTAGGGACATCTGTAACGTTTTTAGTCGAAGTAGCGGATCGTTTAAGGAAAGAATTGAAAGGATGACTAAAAATTTTCCAGGAGAAAATAAAAATTTTAAGGAAAGAAACATTTCTCATACGTTGATATTTAATTTGGGGAAAAAAAGAAAAAAAAAAAGAAAAAGAGGACGATGTTTAAACTGGGGTCCAATCGAATAGCGTGCTTTTGCCGGCTTTTTGTGATTCGTACATATCGCGTTTAAACGAAACAGGGATGGGTGGATAAAGAAGAAATATCTAACGTCGGCTGTTTTTTATCGCTCGGCACGTTTTTTCCAAAGCTGTCGGAACAGAGATCCATTTTCGAGGGAGCTTTAGCGCAGTTTGGTCGATCAAACACGTGAAATCTTCATTTTTCTTCTTTTCTTTTCTTCTTTTTCTTTTTGTTTTCCCCTGTTGGAATTTTTTCCCGCCTTAGATCTCATATCGCGACGTCAACGACGAGTACGCTACTTATTTAAGGACGAAGCTTATATAAACGATTAAAAAATAAAAAAAAAAAAAATAAAAAAACCAGTAGAGAAAACTTTCCTTTCGTACATCTAGCTGATGCACATAATTCTAAGTGCGTAGAATTTCATATGAGAAAATATAAATATCCGGGACAAAAAATGATATATATATATATATATAAATATGAACATAAATACGAGATGATAATTGAATGTATAACAGGAACGATGAAGAGAAGAAAGGGGGGGGGGGGGAAATACAAAATGCAGAAAAAAATAATGATATAGACTTTAATGTAAATGTACTGCCATAATCATATTATACGAGAGCCTATGCGAATAGATTATATTATTATTCCTATAAAGACGAACAACCGGAGAAGCAACAGCGGCGACGAGATGGTGTTAGCACAAAACAAAACTAGGCAACAATCCGATTGTAAATAGAGCATATTTTCAATGTGTCTGGAAAAGTATGTTTTGTAATATAAGGATTGCAAAGGAAAAATAAAATTATTAAAGAATCATTCCTGCATTACTGCGTGTTGCGGCGGTACGAGGAACCTTCGTTACAGGATAAAAGTTTGGTCTGCGTAGATCGTGTCTCTTGGAAACAACAGTGTCGAATGAAAAATTAGTAAAATTTACTTATTTATAATACTCCGCTCGAAATTTATTCTTTCTTCTTTTTCAAATAATGACAATTGTACATCCCATGATATAATTCAATAATAATCTTGCTTTTTAACGTTGGTTGGACGATGGAATTCCTAAGAGGTTGGAGGATTTTTGTAGCATTTATTACGAGCTGCAAAGAACAGTGGTCAATTTTAAATCAAATTTGAGAAGAACTCGCGCTTGATATACCACCAGGCGTTCATGAAAGTTACAATAATAAATCGTTCAAATCGAACGGAAGAATCACTTTAATAAACGATCATGAAATTTGAAATTGTTGTAATTGCGATGGTGGTACAAACAGGACTTAACCTAGAGAATCCGCATAATGATCCTTGGATGGGGCAGAGGCAATGATCGATTTCTTCTTTTCAGCCGCCACCCCAACTTCCATATTCCAAGCAATCGAGTGCTTGGCCTGATTAGAGACATCCAGCGCTGGTACCAAACAAAGACTATCTAGCCATCTAGAAGGGACATTCAACTGCGCAATGGGCCTACAAAAACGGGCCCTACGTAGTATCTCTCTCCCTTCCACTCCTTTTGCCGCCATTAGCCACCTATTACCGACTGGTTCCGACCTACACAACCCCCTAGCAATATTACTAACCTAATCTAGAACCTAGCGTTACTTCGTCGCGATCTCATTCGCCGCTCCGATTATCCCGATTGGTGGGACTCTAAAATCGAAACCATGCTACTCGGCGGAAGCAAGATAGTGCCGTATATTTATACGCATGTGCCTTGCCAAATCCGTTTCTTTCTTTTTGTAGTATCTCTATTCGCATCGTTTAGATTAGGTTGAAGTTCGAAAATATGAATTACTGATAGAACCTCATCTGGTTTCGTTGAGTTTTAGAGGACCATTTTTACAGGAGTCGTTTGATACATGACATATATATGTTTGCCCCAAGGAGGTTTATTTTAGCAACTATTTTTCATAGCTAAGTGTTCAATGAAGGGGTTGTAAAATGAAGCAAATTCTTTGTGGTAAAATTGGGTAAGAATGCAAGTGCTAACCGAGTTAAATTTTGTAACGTATTTTCGTTGTACAGGTCCCAAGAGTCTTGCATCTAGTAGGTTATGTTTAGCTTAGAAAATTTAATCAGTTCTATAAAACTGACAGAATTTTCTTCCATTCATAAGCTATTCAATGATAGCTTTCTTATTCTTAATTCTTCACTTAATAATATAATTACTTCTGCATTACTTACATATATATAAATATACATAAGTACTAAATATATATAAGATAAAACACTTAATGTCTCAAGAACATACATGTGATACAATAGTAATATATATGTATGAGTAGTGATGTACATATGTTCTTAATTGTGATATCAAGCACTTCATTTTGCAGAGACAGGATTGTGCTAATTTCAAAGACATCAAGATATCCTGTGCCTGTGTCTAACACAAGGCATTTAACATCAGGCAGAATGAACAAGGCTTATCGGCCACTGTTGGCATCACCCCACATACGTTGCTATGGAAATCCTCATCGAGGATATGCAATGTTCATTGGGAGAGTACTGAGAGGAGCACTGAAGGTCCGATATCTTCTGCTGGGTGGTGCAGTTGGTAGTGGAGTAACTTTACAGAAGGTGAACATCGATACAAAAATACCCTAATGCATCACCTTATCCTTAAATACCGTAATGCCTACCTTTGTGCATCACCCACAATGTGACCAATGTCATACACGTTACAGAAATACGAACAATGGAAAGAGGTTCTGCCAGATATGAGCTGGTTGGATAACGTGTTTCCCAATGAACAAAAGTGGAAAGACATTCGCGACTCTCTCATGATGGTTAAGAACATTTTTCCAGACAACATCGAAATCGGTAAGTACAACAACGTCGCAAAAGCATACACATTTGTGTACGTATGTGGAAACGTATGTGAGGCAAAAACGAAATCAGAGTGATGAAAACCTGGACAAACACGAACAGATCCACGTATAAAGCAACTCGGGGAAACTAAGTATAGACAGTATAAAGAGTGGTTTGATCAAAGACTGGACGATGCTATCAAGGCAGCCGAGGTTGACCAAACGCAGTCAGACATGGATGTATCCTCCAATCGTGAGTTAATTGCAGATTCCTGCTTGCCGTCATGTCGTTATATCTGCAAGAATGCTTGGATTTTTGGAGCTGCTCGAGCTTTTCGTTTATTTGACGTTTTAATTGGCCTTTTCTTACCCAGCTAATTTCTGATTATAATTTTACACAGTCCTACTTTATCACAATCCATGATACGTCCTAGATGTTTTTCCTGTTCATTTAAAAGTACAAATTAATATCAGGTTGAAACACATGGAATTTGCTGGAGTGTTCCAGTATTGTCTGAAACAATTAACAATCAGCAAGCATGCACGTAAAATCATAATTCATTTATAATTTCATGAGTGAATGCAACGTAACACGATTTATTCTTTTCCTATGTTTCGCAATATGGCAATTCTGTAACATAGGACCCTTTCGGTTTCACCTTATTGCTTGATAAAATACCATATACCACGTCTGTATATTCAGAAATATATTATTATGGTCTGTTCTGTTCAGGTATATTTGACGCAATCTCAGCAATAGTATCGCAACTTTATTCAGGTGTGTAAAATGTTCGGGATTATTCGCATCTTGTCGTCTGTCCATTCAGCATTTTTTTTTCTTTTTTTTCACGGTTTTGTACAATGGAACTTCATTCATTGAAATATATAGACAAATAGCAGTATTGATTAACTTTAATTAAAGTTGATTAACTTTAATTAACACATAATGAAAATAACATAGTATGCTATACAGTATACAAGTGTTGTATATTCATTAGTATTAATACTATGTTTATTGATACAGTAGATTGGTATTATATAGTATATGTTAATATCTAGTATATCAGATACACTATATTGCAATGTAATCTAGTCAAAGTAAGTAATGACAGAATTTCTGTTTTTATCTGAGCTATATTCCCTCAATAAATGGAGTTCTGTCAAAATTATGCATTGAACTAAATTGTAGATCTCAAACTAAAATGACTAAAAATGCAGCAATAAATACTGAATGGGACAGACCCCACGTTCTCGTATCATTTTTTCATTTTCTTTTTTTCTTTTCCGTCATGTTCACATAGAGTTCAATTATTCAGTTATTAACTTTGCGTTAATAACTCACACATCAAACAAAACATACCACTAACGAACAGTTTTGTTACTTTCATTCTTATACTTATTCTAAATTTCATTTGATCACTTTGCCGGAATTTCTAACACCATCGAATTCGATTCATTTGTGGGCAAAGTGATACTGTCCTTTTGGATTATATTGTACCAAAAGCAATTTATCAACTGTCATCAAATGTTTCTACGTAGAAGCAAAGCAGCAGGTGACAAACAATACTGTTGCATTCGCTCGGCCATTGGCTAACGATAACATCGAGGAGGAACGTAAGAAAGCTCGTATGTACATGTATAGGGTATTAATAAAATACATTCTTTCACCGTTTCGAAAAGATTTCTAACTGACGGTTGTCGTGATTTCGTTTGCAGAGAAGTCGCAAGAAAGACTGAACGCCATGCAGGAGGAGGTGATGCAAACGCAGCTGAAGTATCAGCGCGAATTGGAACGGCTGGAAAGAGAGAATAAAGAGCTTCGAAAGCAGATGCTGCTACGTGGCAACCAGAAAATGAGCAACAAGAAAATAAAAGTAATTGAGTCACAATCATACCGTATCACGTGAACTCTCAATATTTATATCAAGTTCGAATCATTCTTTCCAGAAATCTTTGATCGACATGTACAGCGACGTTCTGGACGAGCTCAGCGACTACGACAGCAGTTACTCCACAGCTGATCACTTGCCAAGAGTGGTGGTGGTCGGTGACCAAAGTTCTGGCAAAACATCCGTGTTAGAAATGATTGCACAGGCGAGAATATTCCCCAGGTAGAAACTTGCTTACTTTTTATAAAATCCATCGTTCCTCTCATTTTTGTAATTATTTCTTTTGTATTTTCATTTTAATCAGAGGTGGTGGTGAAATGATGACGAGAGCACCGGTGAAAGTAACTCTGAGCGAAGGACCGTATCACATAGCGCAGTTCAAAGACAGTTCAAGAGAGTTTGATCTAACGAAGGACTCGGAATTAGCCGAGTTAAGGCGTGAGGTGGAGATACGTATGAAGAACAGCGTGAAGAATGGCAAGACCGTTAGTCAAGACGTGATATCAATGACTGTGAAGGGGCCAGGCCTTCAACGCATGGTCCTTGTGGATTTGCCTGGTATAATCAGCGTAAGAAATAATTCGTACCTAGAACAGTAACCACGTTACTTCCCATGAAGCCTAAAACTTACGATATTGTTGCCCATTGTTATTTCCTGTCACAACAGACAGTGACAGTTGACATGGCAGAAGATACGCGGGATTCCATTCGACAAATGACCCAGCAGTACATGAGCAACCCGAACGCGATCATTCTGTGCATCCAGGATGGATCGGTGGATGCCGAAAGAAGCAACGTGACGGATCTCGTTGCTCAAATGGATCCCGCCGGCAAACGGACCATCTTTGTTTTGACTAAGGTGTGCAACGTTGGCTTGATAACTCGTAACATCTCGTTCAACGTAATTAACACCATTCGCCATCCGATAGGTAGACCTGGCAGAAGAGAATCTGACCAATCCTGAACGCGTTCGCAAAATATTGTCCGGCAAACTGTTCCCCATGAAGGCCCTAGGCTACTTCGCTGTCGTCACTGGCAGAGGCCGGCAGGACGATAACATACAAACGATCAAGGACTACGAAGAGAAATTCTTCAGAAGTTCCAAACTTTTCAAGTACGCGTTACGCGTTGAATTTTACAATTACAGAAAAACACTGGCGGCATTAGAACTGTACGGTGGTTCCTTGATCTGTGATTAGCAGATTGTACATCTTGTATTTTATTCCAAACCTCTTATTTCATATACTTTGTGTACTTTTGAGACTTGAAGTGTCGTATCATTAACAATCGATTAATGGTACGTCGGTTTACTTCTTTGGAGTAAAGCTAGACGATATTTTATGGTTTCCAGGGATGGTTACACAGGTCAGGTTACGACGAGAAACCTGAGTCTCGCGGTTGCGGAATGTTTTTGGAAGATGGTTCGCGAGACTGTGGAGCAACAAGCCGACGCATTCAAAGCCACTAGATTCAATCTTGAGACAGAGTGGAAAAATAATTTCCCAAGGTATATAATTTCATTCTTCGTTGGTTCTCTAGCTTGCGTTAAAATTACTCGAGTTTCGTTTAAAGAATCTTACCGTTGTTTCGTTACTCTGTATTTCGTACAGATTGAGAGAATTGGACAGGGACGAGCTATTCGAGAAGGCAAGAGGCGAGATCCTGGACGAGATTGTGAACCTGTCACAGGTTTCACCTCGGCACTGGGAAGAGGTGTTGATGGTCAGGATGTGGGATAAAGTTAGCATGCACGTGTTCGAGAACATTTACCTACCCGCGGCTCAGAGCGGAAATCCAGGTATAATTCACGGCGACACTGTGCGATTGATCTTCTCATGGAAGATTATTTCAATCGTCTTCTGTGATCAACAGGTGTGTTCAATACCACCGTCGACATAAAACTTCGCCAATGGGCCGAACAGCAATTGCCAACGCGAAGCGTGGAAAGCGGCTGGGAATGCTTGCAGCAGGAATTTCAGAATTTCATAAACCAAGCGAAACTGAAGCCCGACCACGACAACATTTTCGATAATCTAAAAAACGCGGTGGTCAACGAAGCCATGACGAGACATTACTGGGAAGAGAAGGTAAATCCCTCAGACCCTTCTTCTTTAGAAGCTCTCTCACACGCTTTATACGGGTAATTTTCTTAAGGCGTCTGAAATGTTGCGAGTTATACAACTCAACACCTTGGAAGACAGAAGCGTGAACGATAAACGCGACTGGGACCAGGCGGTCCGGTTCTTGGAAACATCAGTGAAAGAGAAGCTGCAAGGTACGGAACAAGTCTTGAGAGACATGCTGGGTCCAGGTCGCACAGAACGATGGCTGTACTGGCAGAATAAGACTGAAGAACAACAGAAACGCACAGAAGTGAAGAACGAGTTAGACAAGATCCTCTACGTCGACAAAGTAAGAAAGCACCATTAAGTGATTGGGCTTTGATAATGATCCTCTATGTCTACTGTTTGCTCGCAGAAGCATGCCCCCACTCTCACTCAAGACGAACTCACGGCGATTAGGAAAAACCTGCAACGAAACGGCCTGGAAATCGACAATGAGTTCATTCGAGAAACATGGCATCCAGTTTACAGAAGATTCTTCCTGCAACAGAGCTTGGCCAGGGCGTACGACTGTAAAAAAGGATATTATCTCTATCACACTGGTCACGAGTCCGTAGTAAGTGTACAAATTATTGAAAAAAAAAGAAAAAAAACTGCTTACTTTCTTAAAATGTTTCATCGGAATCATTGACTTTCCTTGCAGATGGAATGCAACGATGTTGTCTTGTTTTGGAGGATTCAGCAAATGCTGAAAGTCACTGCCAACGCGCTCCGGCAACAAATCATGAATCGAGAAGCTCGCAGGCTGGACAAAGAAATAAAGGACGTATTGGAAGATTACAGTCAAGATAACGAAATGAAGCAAAAACTGTTGGTCGGCAGACGGGTCACATTGGCTGAGGAATTAAGTAAGATCTTTTATCAGTCGTGGCATTTCAAATTAAAATTATACATAGAAACAGTTTGCTTCAAAATCAACTTCCCTAATATTTTACTCATATTTTTGTGTTTGTATCTCATTTCAGAACGTGTTAGACAAATTCAAGAGAAACTTGAAGAATTTATTCAAGCATTGAACAAAGAGAAGTGAAGAAGAATGAACCGAGAGTCTAAACATTTGAAACCTATGGATATGTGATAAGCGACAACAGCCCTGGTGGCTTGTTAAGTGTTAATTTATTTTCTCTACTAGTCGAGCCGCAATAAACATAGGCTATTTAAGTCTTCTGATGAATGGGAACTGTTCGATCAAAGATTTGAAATTGTCACTCTTACTTGCTGTCATTCTAGCACTGAAATTACGACCGGTTTGTATGTGATCGCGATTTATACAATGTATTGATCCGATTAAGCTGTGTAATAAGTTCGTTTGCGACATCTCGACGATATATTAGTGAGTATTATTTGATCGATTGTTTTTTTTTCATAAAGGAATTAAGTGACTCTTGAAAATTTCGTCCTTTTGTCAAAAAATTGCACGATGAATATTCCTGTTGATATTTAGTACGTGGTGTAACAATGGTGACCATTTTTAATAATAATAGGTTAATACTTTAAAAAATTATACCTATCATTATTGTCAATCAATTTCAAATTTTATATTGTGCTTTAAATATCTAAGACTAATATTATTATTAATAATATATCATTAGGCTTTGTTTTCTTTCTATTTTTATCAGTAAGTAATAAAACAACAGTTTTAATAACACATATTTTTAATGTCCTGAAAAATGCCACGTCAAGTGGCAAAAGGACTTATTACACAACCTAATAATACATTCAGCAAACTTTGTTGACAGAAAGCACTGTTTAGATACGAATGTTGTTAATAGCTAGACATAATTAATACAAATACCAAAGCGAACAACTCATCGAAAATTTCTGGATATAGCTAGAGAATAATTGAATGAACATTACATGTAAAATAAAATATGAACTGTAGATTGTGATTAACGCCACTAGGAAAAATGATGCTCATTACATTTTATATATCATCATACAGAACGAATGAAAACGAGCATGCGTTTTGTATGGATAGGAAAATCGGAATAAAGAAATAGAAACTAAGTTCTTCGTGTCCATAAACATTCTTCTTTTCAATCACAGAAGTACATGTGTAATAACAATGTCATTTCTTTCTCGTATTTATTCTTCCTTTTTTTTTTTCTTCTTTTTTTAAGGATATGTATGGTTTAAAGTGAAACAATTGATAAACATCGAACATTGAAGAGTGTAATTGTAAGATCGTAACACACCAGAATATCTCTTAACATTCGCAATGAATCCATTTTACGATAATAATTACGACTTTCAATGCTTCTCTTTCCCTTCATGGACACTCAACGGAATCATTAAGTACTTATGGAATTGAAAATGTGCCTTAATACAAAAGTAGCTCAAGTAATTATTAAAATACACGTTCTCTGCCTAGTATATATTCTCGTGATGTGAAAGAGTATAACGCATTTTTTCGTCGAAATTTTATCCTTTATACCCTTTCGTTTCCATTTATTGGTAATAATAGAGATATTATTAACGGTGGCTTTTTTTTTTAAATATATCACAACGTTACAAATAACATGGTAGGAACATTAAAAATATCATTTTCTTTAATTGACGATTGTAAATTACTAGGTCAGTCGGAAAACTACTTTGCTTCATTTCTAGATTCGTATCTATGTTTTTCTTTTTTTTATCCCTTTTTTTCTTCTTCCTTTTTCTTCTTTTTATCTTAATTCTGAGTAACGCTAATTTCAAGATAAAATATACCCTCTTCTTTGGTCCGGATGCGTAACGAAATATTCATACGCATTTTACGCATTTTACCGTCACGAGAAACAATAGTACGGCTTTTGTTGTGAGCGTTTGTAAAATTCCCTTGTCTGACTAGAAAAAAATTCTATTATTTTCTTATATCAAAATTAAAATACCTCTCTTCGAGCACCGCTTCCGGGACAATTCACACCATTCGAGCAATCGTGTCGACACGATTGTGCGCATCAACGGGCGCAGCGTTAATCAACGTCGTAGTTATTAGAATCCATCATTTTTTTTTTCCACTTCTGTCGCCCGTCGATGCGTTAATGTCCACACGTGCTTTTAAGTATTCGAACTTTTATCATTCGAACAGTGTGAACTTCCTTATTTGTACTTTTTTTTCCTTTTTTTTTTTTTATTAACATTTGATAGAAGATTAAACTATGTATATATTTGGCAGGAATGTTTCTTTCCTCGTTATTTACGGTACGTTCAGAATCGGGCAAGATCGAGAAGACTGACGATCGTATAACGTTCACGGAAAAAATCCCGACCCCGATCCTGCGAGGATCGTTCAAAAAAAAAAACAAAAAAAAAAACAAAAAAAAAACAAAAAAAACAAAAACAAAAAAAAACTTTCTAAATGATAGTCTAGAGCTTCGCGGTACATCTGTTGGGGTTGATAAGCCGGCAAATAATAGCGCAACACTTTTTTTTCCTTTTTTTTTTCTTTTTTTTTTTTTTATAAATAGGACTGCACCGATATATTGTTATCAACAATGAACATTATGTATATATATATATAAATATATATACGAACAATCATTTGGTAATACATCATTGGTAACACGAAGCGCATAATTGGCCGTAAATCGAGGAAAAAAGCGTTTGGACGTGAAATGGACGAAATAAAACGGCGATTTTTGTCTCGTGTGTGTTGCAAACATAGCCGTCCATGTCGGATAACATCCCCTAGGGAATTCACTCTAACTCGCGTCGTCTCTCCCGCGTACTATAGGCGCGCGCTATACTCAAACGATTCCCGGACGACAGATTAACATAGTACACGGGAGGGAAGAACGCCACGTTTTTTCGTTCAACGTTCTCTTAGTCTCTTTAGTCTCTCACTCTCTCTCCTTCTTTCTTTCTCAACTAAAACGTTGGACTGTAAGGGGATGAGGAGGCTTCCCCGACAACAGGGATTACACGCTAACCGTGTTTTTGGTATTGTCCACGTACGGAAGTGAGTGGAAGACACCGAGCTCATCCTCTTCCGTCTCCCCAGTATTGGAGAAGGAACACGATGGCTCGTCACCGCCCGTGGTCCCCGAAGTCTCCGGGAGAAGGGACGTGCGTTCGGTCACCATTCTCCAGCCCTGTGCAGAGGCACTTCTGCCGCGTACCCTGCGGCCTAACGAGGACCTTAGTACATCAAAATGCTCTTTTATGTCATTATGAACGTCCGACACGTCCCACATGGCCCTTGAAAAGATTAAGCAGATTTTTTAATACTTAATGCTAACATGGGCAGCGCGTGTGAAATGCACGTTAAATTTCTACGGATTGTCGCGCACGTGATTATCGATCGCGATCTATAGGAAGCAGTGAACAATGGGCGACTCCTTGTTATGTATGAGACACTGAGAGCAAACGTTACGTTATGTGATAATCCAAACAACGATTTTTGTATTTACACTTTACGGTTGACAGATTTTAGTGGAATGCATTGTACATTTTCTGACAAGATTACACTTATCACTTCGCTCTCGATGGCTCATATTAAACAGAACAGGTTATACTGTACTGCAATGGCTGGATAGCTCTGTACTTACTTTTTGTATTTCTACTTTTGGATTCCTAATCCAGAAATAAAATAAACTCTAACGAAGTGATTTATCTTTTGCGTAAAACAATGACAACAAGCACTACTGTGACAAATTATAACTAAAAAAAAAAAAAAAAAAAAAAAAAAAAAAAAAAAAAAAAAAAAACAAAAAAAAAAAAAAAAAAAAGAATAAAACACTGAGAAAAACCGAGGCAAACTGTGGGTAAATGACACCACAGTGCGTTCTGTACAAGCAACTGTTTAGAATTCGGCAAGTTCGAATACGAGATAGCACGAGCGATCAATAACGAGGACACGCCCACGAAAAACCATGAACAACCTTTAACGAAGATTTCATTACCTGAATGCGTCCCACCACGTCTGGCCCCGCGCTGGATTCACGAAACACTTGTATGAAAAACTAAAATGATGGGCCAGCGCAGCCATAAACATCTCAATGCAGATTAAAAAATCCTGAATGTTCGAGGATATATTTCTGATATCCTCCGTGTCACTCGTGTTAAAAATACTTGATATCACACCGAAATTCACTAGGAATGCAACGATCACACCCTGACTATAAAAACCAAGTATAGTGAAAAGTCCACCTCTGCCATCCATTCAACAACTTAACTCTCTGTCAGCGAACTTACAAGAAAGAGAAGAATATAACCGCTTTGATACAGAAAAACTTCCTGATCGGTTTGATTGGTTTCAACGTTTCGGCGTTGGCACGGTAGAAAAGCACCAGACAGTACATGGCAACGAACTGAGACAAATTATTTACAGCAACCAGATATGGAAAAGCTACGTCCGTCCGAAATTCACCCTCCCCGTACACTCCGTTCAGATCACAGATACTGCAAAAGAAACAGAGAATCGATATTTTATTACAAATGAATCATGCAACTCGAAAAAAAGTCAATGTTTGTACATCCCTCGTATACGTACAAAGATATCAATGACGTCAGAGACCTGACAGCGGTATATTGCAGTATTCCGTGCTTGCACTTGTGTACGAACTCCCTGCCCATCTCCCAATCGTGTAAGCAACAAAACGGGAACGAGTGATGCATCTGGAGGGATTTGGACCTCTCGTTCGGTTTCTGCTCATTGGGTCTCTCATTGTCGGATTTCTCCTCATCGAGTCCCTCCTCGTCAGGTCTCTCCTGATCGAGTATCTCCTCGTGGGTTCTCTCGTCGATGGCTCTCTCCTCGTACGATCTCTCGTCGGGTCTCTCCTCGGGTCTCGCATTCACGTAGGCCAGTAAATACATCATAAAATTGTAAATCACATACGCCTCGTAGTACTCTCTCAAATTGTCAACGTATATGCCACCCTTTGAGAGCATCAGGCCGAGCCACTACAAGAATTTGAAAAAGAGAATACGCGTTTAGAACTGAGAGGTACCCACTGACACGTGTACAGAGTTATACCCACAGCGTTCCCTGCGTAAATTGGTACCATCCATAATATTCTGAAACAGAGTAGAGAAGCTTTGATATTGCGTGTGAACAAGTGTTGCACTCTTTTTGGAGAATCCTGTATCAGCTGACACAAGATGATATTAAAAAAAGGCTGTATAAAACTAAAATTTCATAGAATATTGTACCAATTGCATAGACTGTAAAATATTTCATACATACTGATTAATTTCTATGCACCAATATTTTTAATAAAGAGAACATTATGACATTAATAACTCCCTGTAATTATATATGTACATATCCTCTCAATCTTGAGAGGGAAGTGAACTCTGATATACCTCATGCTCATGTTACAACTGTATCATTTTCTTCTCACAGTGAATTCAACTGTTTCAATATACTGCAATCGAGTGTGCATAATGTTTGTGACAGAAATTTCGTTTTGTTAGACAGCGAATAAATTTGCAATATTTGTATTTATATGTCAATATCAATAACAATATTATCAACGTTTGTTGAAACAAGTCCCAAACGTTACGATCTTTTTAAATTTATTTCGACAACATTCAGTGAATTTTCTCTTGAAAAATAAAATACAAAACGACAATTTGTTTACTAAAAATCTCAACCTATGTCAAAGGCAATCTTGACGTGACGTCAAAAAAAAAAAAAAAAAAAAAAAGGTCGATCAATAAAATTGCCACTTTATGAAAAGGATACAAAAGATTTTGAAAAAAAAGTCCAAAACCATGATTTAGAGTTATTTAATATTTACGTTCGTACTGAAAACCGAAATATTGAAATACTAAACGCAATAATGGCTATAACATTGTAGAATACGTAGTGCAAATTAATCAAAAATTCCTCCATTGACTTTCCCTTCGAATTCCCCTGGAAAAATTTTCTTCGTAACGTAAGTGTCAAGTTTCGCTACGCAGGCAATAATGCGAACCACGTAGATACATCTACTATCGTAAGTTATATAATCGATAGATACATTCTGATTATACTGACAAACTAATTAATTGCAAATTAACCTTATACAACACAAACAGAAGTATGTCATTTGAAAAAAAATAAATAAATGCAGATCATCCTGAAACTGTTACAAAACACAACGATTATTTGCATTTACCGAGATCTATAATTCATACACTGATCTATATTCACTGATATTTGATAAATATCGAGTGTCACGATGTAATTCGACTTTCAAAGAAACTAGAGAGAAATTTAAGCCTGGTTTGACAGCCGGCCACAAAGCGAGACACACTCGAATGGCGACCGTACACGTTGCCACCAAACACGAGGGCAGCAATACCAAACACCAATATTGATCGGAGGAGTTATTGACTCACCTTATAACGTGTTTCTGCAGTCCAGGATGCGTGTAATGTATCATATGCTGGACGATCTCGTACAACGCGATTGGCAATGTAAGGAGGACGAAAGCACCGCCAATTAGAGCCGCTTGATTTTTCTTCTTGCTGCTGGCCCACGTCGAGGTGGCCAATAGGATCGGTACCAAGCTAACTATTGACACAGCGTAGAGACCAGCTGAAACTGGCAAAATCCACAGTCTCCAGTGGCGACACACAGGAGCCATGACTATTCAGAAATTCTACGACAATATTATATAATTTCAATTTCGAATTTCACCACCACTGAGAAAAAAGGGGGGTGTGAAGAGAAAAAAAAAAAAAAAAAATCACAGGAAACAAGTATTACAGTATGAACCGCTCTATCCTCGACTTCCATAGGTTAAGACAAACTTAACTAACGGACCACCTCCTCTACACGGCGGACGAAGCAAAGCACTTTAAGATCCGCGTTAACCGACGATCCCATTACCTTTCTGTTGTCCATCGGCGACATAACGAGGATATACGATTTCTTTTTCACAATTGTGTACCGATTATTGTCTTCAAAACACTGTCGATCGAACGGTGGTGGGAGCGGCAGCCGAGGATCGGCAACAGAGAATCGTGTAGACAACACAACCTTGTCAGTTGACGGTGAATCAATGATGAAAACAAGTCAGCTGATGACTCGCTGCCAGCCGCGAAGGAGGGAAATATGCCTTTCGAAATGCCCTCGCCCCTTGCGATCTAGCGAAACGCGCGGACGCCGATTACTGTTCATTTATACGGACTTGAGTCTGTCGGGCGCACTGAACAACTCTCGACGAACAATCCTCGACCGACAGTATCTTAAAACAATTACGCTCCGCAGATCGGACCCGGTGGCCGCCATACGATCAAACGTTCCCTCGAGATTCCACGAGACCTTCTTCATCTCTTCGATCCGAACAACCAACCGCTTGATTGATTGCGCCGGGTCAATCAGAAACGCATTCAAATGCGACTGAATCGAAATTGGAAATGTTCACACACTTCTCTCCGTTACAGCGACACAGATATACTGATATCCTCTCTTGCGAAGTCGAACTTCGAATACGCGCGTGCAAGTGATGAGAAGAACTTTTCCCGTTTCAATTCGACAAGGTGGAAGATACCTATTTCCGACGAAACCAAAATCGATGGAAACCAGTCTTGAGATTGAGAAAACGAAAAATTTCTGAACAGCCGCGAGACATGAGCGAACGGAAAGCAAGACTCAAGAATGATGAGGAAGAGACTATAGATTGGTGCGCGAGAATGAAAAAGCGAACACTATGAGATCTAGTGATTTTTCGGCGCGTTAGGTTGGCATCGGCGCCGACACTACGCGCAAGTAACGTAGGAAGGGTACATATGTTCTAATGGCGTCAAGACCCAAGCACTGTTGTCACGTTTTGTCCTACAGTGTTTCAATATTTTGTTTTGTTTATGTCGCTCAAGTTTTCCACGAAGGAGACGAAAAACCGACGCGGGCTTGCGCAGGTTGGTACGGAGAGGTGAGAGGACGCCAATTTTCCAGCCGGAACGTGGATCAAGCGAGGAGAGAAATTTTCTGTGAGCTCCGGGTGCAGTGACCTTGATTTCGCTGTCATCTCGATGTTACACTAACGCGCGAAATTTGAATTGTGTGTTTGCACGTCCTCTGAATAATATCGACAGGACAGCGAAAATTCATTCGAAAAACGATCGACAATATTGTTCCATGCTATTCTCGTGAAATGTTAAAATCGATATATTTGTCGAAAAGATTTCTGCGGAAAATTTCTACATTACCAACGCGTACGTTCCTAAGTGAATCGTAACAGATAAATGGAAGTAAAAGTGATGCAATTCGTTTGTTTGCACAAGAGACGTTTCTTTTCTCCTAAAGCAGGGACAATTCTTAACGTAACGTCTCTCGAGGAGTATCGCTCAAAACGAATCTCAACCGAAGACTCAAACTCTTGTGTGTATCTTTTCTCCCCAGGCAGAGAAAGTTAGCTTTTACAGATGGCAAGGAAATAATTCTCGAGGAAATTCTCTTCCATCAGCAGTCAAGCCAAATGAACATGGAAGTGACAACAGAGGAGGCACAAGCGGTGCTGCTGGAGGGAATGGAAGGTACGCAGTACATTACCATTCAAAGGGCAGATGGAGAACCCTTGAGCAAAAGCGTGCCTCTTCTGACACTTAATGGAGAGCTGATCTCCGAGGGAATGGTGGTTGACATGATCAATGCTGGTGTTGGCACTGACTATGGTGCAGCGACTCAGTATTACGAAACTGAAGATCTACTGCAACATGACTTGACAGAGGTATAGAGATAATTTGTCATTTTCTCAAGTTCATAAGTTGGACACTGATTTTAATTTAATCATCGATTACAGGAGGACAGGAGGCTGGCTGCAGCTTTGGTTGCTGTTCAGCTGCAACAACAACAGAAGCAGCAGCACCTTCACAGTCAGTCGCAACACGACGATCCTACACTGCCGGACGTTTCACATCTGGAGACCCTGACGCCTGTCAACACTTACTCCATACAAACGGTCCCAGAACCAAACGCACCTCCGGTGTACCCGACGTTGCAGCCATTCAAACGAATCCCGCATAACGTGAAACAAGAGTTCATAAACGTGAAAAGCGAATATGACGTGGACGTGTCGGCGGAGAGCAGCGAGGACGCGACCCCGAACTCGGGGCCGAAGAGATCGTTGCCGCACAAGAAGAGGATACCACGCAAACTGAAGCAACAGACGAAAAGAAGCTCGACGAGGAAGGACAGCGGCAGGATAAACGCGGACGCCATGAACGGCAATAGCGCTTCCGGCGACATACAGACACACGTGTTCAAGTGCGAACTGTGCAGTTCTAGATTTAGTAGTCAGTTGAAGTTTTTCGAGCATCTGAAGGTACACTATGAACCTGTCAAGCAGGAAACCAGGATAGCACAAGCGACCAATACTAACATCACGATATCTGTGTCAGAGTCTGTTCAGAATTTGGAAAATACAGTTATCGAGGAGTTCAGCGAGCCTGAGGATCTTATGGAGGGCATCAGAGGCGTTGGTAAGTAGTATCAGTACAGTCTTTCAATTGGATGACCATAAAGGACTTCGAAATCCCTGTCCATTCTTGGACAGATTTGATCAAGATCGTTGTACGTATTTGCAGTGGAGGAGACAGGTGCGCACATAGACGACGAAACAGAATCCCCGTTGTCCACGGTGAACAACGAATCCCCGTTGTGGACGATTACCGACGTCACGGAACATGTACATAGGGACCACGTAAAACCGTCAGCTATCAATGACCACGGCATGCACGACAAAGATAAGTCTGACATTCCACAAACAGCGAAGAAAAAGAAGATACTGAAGGCTAGGAAGTCGAGTAAGTGCTAAATTAGTCCGTTTTTCTGTCTGCAAACACGCATATATGTTTTATTGTCGATATTTTTAAAGACGACGAACTAACGTGTCCCCAATGCGACCGGTCATTTCACCATAAAAACAGTTTGGTGTACCACATGCGATCTCACAGTGGTGAACGACCTCACCAGTGTGAAGTCTGCGGGAAAAGTTTTTTTGCTGCCAGTGCGTTGAAGGTGAGACAATTATTTGGACATCGTACATTAATAGGATATTATGGATTAAACATCTGTTATGGATTAAACGTTAATTGGATGCAGTAGTGAAAAATTCACACTACACTCGACCATGTAACAATTAACACGTTGACCAACCATGTACGACTTGCTCAAGACGGAACAAATTTCTCGTCATGCGATGTAAATTGCTATAAAATATTATCTATAACAGATAAGTTGAACTGTATATGATTTATGCATTTATTGTGTACACTGGCAAGACATTTAACGTGTTAAAAGTATTTCCCATTTGTTTCCAATGTCTTCATTTCACCTGCAAAATTAAGGGGTTCATAAAAAAAAAATGGAATTACCAAGTCTTCCAAACGAAATTTCCGAATAAATTTTTTCCAAATGTAGGTCCACAAGCGCCTTCACAGCGGTGACAAGCCGTACAAGTGCGAGGAATGCGGCCGTCATTTCCGTCAGTGCGGAGATCTGAAATACCACTCGACTAGCATCCACTCGGAGCAGAAACAGTATCAGTGCGAGTATTGCGGCAAGGACTTTGCGCGGAAGTACTCGCTAATCGTTCACAGGAGAATTCACACTGGCGAAAAGAATTACCGCTGCGAGTACTGCAACAAAACGTTCAGGGCGAGCAGTTATTTGCAGAACCATCGTCGCATACACACCGGTGAGAAGCCGCACCAGTGCGCTGTCTGTGGAAAGCCATTCAGAGTACGAAGCGACATGAAGAGGCACATGCACACGCACACGAGGGGAAGGTCTGAAAGAGCTATGAACAGGGTGAAAACTGTGGAGGAAGTCGGTGACAAAGGCTCGCAGGCAAAAACCATCCAAGATCTTGTTCGTGATTTGAAGCTCGAGGTGGAGGCAACAGGAGTCGTGGAGATCATCCCTCCCGACGATAATCCTGAGAGCATTCTGCCGCACGCTGGTGGACCAACCCTCGAATACACAGTGACAACGACTCCGGACGCTAATCTTGACAGAGATCCATTGAAGGCAGTTGTTCGTGCTGAGAATATGTAAGTTTATTCACTGTCTAAAATGATACCAGCCTGGTTATTATTATTATTATTATTATTATTATAACTTGACCATTTCGTATTTGTTGCTCTTGCAGGCAGTATTTCTTTATCTAATGTCTGCTGGATTATTTCCTGTAACATTGAGATTAGACCATGACAGATCTCTCATGCACAAAGCCGAAGTCACCACAGGTGCAAATGACTGAATCGAAGTGCTATCACCAACGCACTGCTTATCATTAATGTGGATAAACGTACTTTCCAGTTTCTCTGCAAATTTTTAAGGGAATGTTACGGACGTAATATTAAAAAAAAATATATATATATATTATTCTTAAGACTGTTCTTAGCAGAAGAACTCGGGAAGTACATATATATGTATAAATATATATATACACACATACAAACACAGGATGTCCTGAATTTAAATGTCAAAACTTCGTAGAAAAGCGATAGAATGAAGGAAAAAAGTTCTTCAGAGATTTGCTCCACTTTAGAGAAAATCACAAAAAAATCATAAAAAAAGTTTTCATTTATTCATTTAGTCAGTAAGTTCATTCAACGACAACTCCAGAGTTGTATTTATAAAAACGAGCAAACCTCTAAAGTACTTTTTCTCACAGTTTATTAATCCCCTACATAATCCTTTGACAAAATTTTGACAATTAAATTTGGAACCTGTGTGGTATACAACTTCTAAAAAAAGGTAATATCAATTTAATTAGTTGAAGATATGTATATGCATATGCGCAAGTGTATACACACATCCTTATATACGTATACAGATAAAATTACACGTATAAATTGTACAATACTTAATGATAATCAAGATCTATTGTAAATGTACATTTCTTAATCGTAGTTAAGTTAGTCATTTATATCCGCGAATCGTCGTTGATAAAGAAATATATTTTTTACGTGAACGCATTTACAAGAACATTATGGTCCACTTTTATTGCATTTTCCATCAAGAGTGAGATGTTCATAGCTCAGTCTTTACATGAAGATGGTGTGTTACTCGCGTCGACAAATACTTGTAAAACTTGAGCCAATTCTCTGGACTTGAGAGCTGCATCGAGCTTCTCCGCAGCGTCTTTGCTACCGATTCTGAGAACACAGGGTACAAATTGCAACTGGTGCAATCAATTTAACAGTTCTTTCCTTTTTCTGTTTCTTTTCCAATAAAATTCCATCTTTATAGTATGTGATACAAATGAATCCTTCAATTTTGTTAATAGAAAAACCAAAAAAAAGCAATAACGAAATTTTTTGTTAATTCATCTGAATGCTGTTTCATTTGTATATTATGTTTTACGGATTTAAAAAATATCATTGAAAAAAAGAAATGAACGATTAATATTTTAAATTGATGTTTTTTCGAATAAAAACTGGTGAAATGATAAATGCTGAGAAGGTTCAGAGTAGTGAATTCTTCAAAGGACAATTTTGTTGATTTTTAGACAGTTATTTATCGATACACACCTACGAGAACGTTTAGCTCTTTCCCAATCGACGTAGAGATCTGTAATTACCGCATGCAGTCTTTCCAATAGTTCACTGTCCTTCGCCATCTGGGATTTGATCTCAGACTCCTTTTGTAACAGTTCCTGATACTCCGTGCACAAGTTTTCTTTCGGATTTTCCTTCAACTCCCATTCCTCAAGAGCATTCAAGATCTTCACTTTTGTAATTAGATCGTCAACAGCGTTCAACTGTGGAAAAACTAACTCCAACACTCTGGAGATGCTACCATCAGAAACATCTGCGAAGGAACGTCGAATAAGAAAAGAACTCTAAGGATAAGAGCAGCAATTGATCTTGTAATGAAAATATACCACAGAAGACGTCTAATTTGATTTTTCTTTTCGTTGCCTCTCGGGTCAGTATATCCCTGAGAATTATGATAGTAGAGATGTTCTCACCCAAGAAAACTGCACTTCCTTTTCTGACAATCAGGAAAATATTAAATTGCATTTAATATTATTGTCATTTACGTTCCGTGGATCTTACTTGTATCTGCACTTTATGACTGATCCAATGAAAGATGAGACGTATGTCAAAATAGCCTCCCCTTCTTCCAAAAGTGGTCTTTCTGGCACATCCGGCAACGCGAAGGACAGCCACGCGTGCATCTGAAATGTATGCAGCATTAGAAACAGAAAACTTAATTTGTTATTTGGATCTTTGAACGTTTGTCCACTGGCAAACTATTGATGAAACATTGGCATATGGCGGGTTTACCATCATGCAGGTGCAAGATGTAATAAATATATCTTAAAAGAGAAAATATGGGACTTTACTTCTGCAATCGTGAAACCTCCGATTAACCTCAGTGCATTGAAGGGCCCTTCAGTACGAGTTTCAGGATTTTCGACTTCATGCTGCCGTACGTGAAAAGAAAGAGCAGGTATAGGTATCAATAACTTGCGACAACACTTTGGTTGTACCTGAACAGAAAAACGATTACGATTTTGATCACAGATTACGTAGTAACTCAATAAAGTTAAAAAATTTGTATTAATCAAGCAATACTTGTGAAGTGACGTAAATTTGTAAAGTACCAGGCTGTCCCTCTATGGTTCTCAACCTCATTTCAAGATGATTGGTATTAATCTAAAAAGTACAAAATACTGAATCGTTCAATTTGATTATTAACAATAAGTGAATTACTTGTATTAACAATAATTGAATTACTTGACAACGATAAGTAGCAAGAACGAAATTGCCTTCTCTAGGATTGCAAGTGGACAAACTGACTACTGCGCTGTTACTTTCCACGTCCAGTAACACAATCGGAGTGTCCGACTGTATTAAAATGTTATCGATAGGTGTATCGAGTTCTATGAAAAGGGAATATGACACATCCTCCCTGTTTAAAGTCATTCTGCAAGAAACAAGCTTCGTTTGATATCTTCTTTGTGAACGAGAAATGATTCGTTCAATTCTATACCTGTGATTAACAGAAAGAATTAATGGCGCTAAGGGATCAACTGAGAAACTAGCTGCTTCTTTCTCTTCCTTCAACTTTTCCTGCAACTGTTCTATCTCAACCTTCAACTTGGTCAAACCGTCATTCTGATCAGCTTCTAAAAGACCGGGAGGTTTGGTAGTCAAGCCGAATATTCGTCCAGAGTATGTAGTAACCAATACTTCAGGATATCCTGCTGCACCAATTATTCCCCCAATCACCGAACTAATACTTTCACTGGCGTTCTGTGAAAATAACTTCTTAGGAACTTGAACACGATCAAGAAATTAATTGGAAGCACTAAAAACGCTTTTAAAATATGCTACACCTACGTAACGATAACGCAACGATGGCAACATATCTTCCTCGGGAAAAGTGTATACTTCAACAGTACCATCCTGTCTACCAATAAGTATATCTAATCCATCCTGCAACTCATAAGTATCCAAAGACGTGATTTCTGAGCTTGTCATGTTCAGAAGCCAAGTGATTCTCAGTGTCTTGTTACCCTGAAGAATCAGCAAACCCACTTTGCCATCCATCGTTCCCACTAGAACACGTTCCTTAGATTCAACGTCGCCTTCCCTACAGAAAAGTTAAGAAGATACTTGGAGAATATTAAGGAAATAAAAAACATAGTATAAAGAGCTTGGAAACCTGTACAGAGACAATACAGTGGGTACACTTGGAAGTCGAAGAACTGCTGGAGTTTTGGTACCATGAAGGACTCGTATCTAAAAAAAACGAAATTAATCAAACGAACATAATAATTTAAAGATTATTGGGCTGTACTATAGCATTTAAGCCAATGCTCATTAAAAATGAGTTAGAATCACTGAATGATTACGCATTTACGAGAAATTAATAGCCGATTCATAAGCTTTACGATGCTGGCTTATATGCTAAAAAAGTTTTGAATCTCGAGGATTAAAATTTTTACAGCACAATCCCCGCAAGCTAGTATGGCGAAAATGAAGGAGCCGTCAGTAGGTAGGAGAACCACGTCGTATAAAGTTTCACCAGCTAGATAGGAGTCAGCATCCTTGCAATCACGATATCTGTGGTAGAGATCTCTTGCACATGCTGCTAAATCCGGACCAAGCACATATCTGTGTAGAAGTTTTTATGAATTCTACTTGAAAATGTTCCTTTTAAATTAACTTTTACTTTAAACTTTAATTACTCCCCATTTAATCTACTCACAGTGCCGAAATAGGATCTATAAGATTTGTATCGAATTCTAAGAACAATTTTCCTTTTTTGGTATATCCCTTCACAGTGTTTACTTGTGCGATGTAAATCTTATCGTGCCCAGTACCACCGAGAACTAGTTTATTAATCTTCGGTCCTGGCAGGGACTTGAACGACACTTGCAGCTCTCCTTTCTTCACACCTTGTTAAGAAAGTCAAAAGACATAGAAATAACAAATGATCGTCTAAGATTCATTTGAAAATTTTACTTTAAATTCTCTCTAAAAGATGAAGAATGAAATTCACCGTATACATGGAGTATGCCATCGTGATCAGCAACAGCGAATTTTTGAGTCTGTTTGTGTTCTTTCGCAGGAAAAATCTTGGTAGTTCCTCTAGATGTGACACCAACAGCTGCATAGTCTATCCTCGACAGTGACAAAGACATTTTGAACCAAAATATAATCTTCTTATATTTTCTAAAATAAGACTACCAAATAAAAGTATTTAAAGTTTATTTGAAAGCAGTCTTCTTGTACAGTTTTATTCACTCCTCCATTTACTACATTATGCAAATATCTGAAATGATTCCATTCTGAATGAATAAGTTTTTCAAGGTTCTAACGAAGACTGCTACAGTTTTGTGAGTGAAAAGGTTGCCACTACTCGTAGTCACGTTATAAAATACACAGTATGATCAACGAACGCATGCGCAACGATCAATTTAACTATGACAACAAGCTATCACAACAAATTATACTTTATCCTCCTGTTTTCAAATACACTTAGTATCATAGTAAAAATTAAAAGTTTGCACGAAAATAAAAGCAGTAGTAGTAAATTTAAGGAAGAAGGGAAGAAGAGAAGAAAAAATATTCACACACATACATGTATTAAAAAGCATGTATACTTTCATTATTAAAAATAATACAATCATTTGGTTTATTTATTAAATCTTTCAATTTCTTTACATCGCTTTCTTCCTTATCATGAAGATATATTTGAACAACTTCTATTTTTTTTTTTTTTCAAAAAAATCATCTGTTCACTCTACATTGTAAATTGATGGATTATACATTGCGTCTTAATTTGGGTGATAATTGACAAATGTAATCACTTCTATCATATAGAAAGGCCACATCCTATTGCATGGGGTTAGTATTGTTTCATCAGCGCCCTTAAAAACCAACAGTTACTACTAGAAGTTAATCCTTAGCTGCTACTTCATGCTTCGTAGAAGTACATCTCTGACTTTCTCAGAATTTTTTTATTCTTTTCCTTCTATATATCCGTGTCCATTGGACAAATCTAACTGAAGAATATAAAACGTACTCTGGTCTAAGATTTCCCTTCACTTAGATCTAGATTTTTACGATGGCTAGGGGGATATAAAATACCAGCTGGAATTGAACCATTTGTGATCATAGAATCAATTGTTTCATTCATATTCCATAAACCAAGTGACAGACTGGGAAGAATCTGTAGAACTCTTCTTTTGCTCCTTAAAGTCTTAATTCGAAGCTATTGGTAATTACAAAAATTACAAAATTATACTTTTCAACACAATGAAACAATGCTTTTAAGTACTCGTATCATTGATTATTGCATCTTTAATTCAATGAAACTCATATATTCACTATAAAGGGTCCAAAGAAGAGTTCTGCATGCGTCAGTGGCGCCATCCCCCCTGGAACTGCCTCTTAACGACACTAGCGACTTCAAAGAAATGTTTGGATGATCTGGATCTCAGCTAGTTAGCGCAGAAACAGCACGATCAAGACTAACAATAAAAACCGCAAGACAAACGTGGCTCGCAACCATAGGCTAGACTCTGACAGCTAGGCTGCAGATGCTTTTGCAGTTTTGTAGTTTGAAGAACACGACCAAAAAAATGGAACCTATATAACCAAATATTACGAGTACAGTGAGACTTACTTTCAGCATTGCACATTCTTGATATTGCTTATTATTAAATTTCTTTTTTTCTATATTTTTATGATTTTTAGTTCGTATAATCCATAGAAAATCATACATATTATTATTGGATACTGTTCGGACAATTTGCAAGATTTGTACTTGATTAATTAATTTGGTTTCACTGTACTCTTATTTTCAATATCCCTTATACTTTTGCAGTTTTATATTTTTAAAATTTTCTTCCCTTTACACAAATGTATATACATCCACAGCCTGCTAACAGTCTAATAGCCAGCAAAGTTGCTAGGCGGTCGTGGAACATCGAAGCGTGGATTTCCATCGTACGAGACCTGTGCGCTGAAACCGTGTTTCCAATCGGCGGTATAGCGAACGATTTGCAGCCTCCCGTCCGGAAGCTGGACTCTGTACTCGCCACGAACGATGTCACCGTCGCTTATCGCGTTATGGGAATAGTCATTTCCAAAGGCTTCTTCCTTGACCGCGTAGTTGAAGTCGAACGGCATTCCTGGCTCGTGATGATGATGATCGTGCTAGAATTTTAAGATCAATAACAAAATCATTCAAATACTACAAATATACTACACTAACACGCTACAACCAAATGTCTCCAAATATACTATACTGTAAAATTTTAAAGATGACTCAAAGTTTTGAAATTTTTGCATGATAAAATTTATCCATTATCAATAACAACCGCAGTTCAATGACCATTTATCCGGCAAATGCGTAATTTTCACAGGGAAAGATAATTTTATAGATATCTTCTTTTATTGCAACTTACACCACCAACAGGCAAAGTAGTTCCAGCTGGTCTGGTGGGTGTCCCGTAATCGGGGAATTCTGGAGTGGGTCTGCTGCCTGCTGGTGGATAACCCTGGTCAGGAGGAGGTCTGGAAGGTGTGAATTTCGGAGGTGGCTTGGAGTACGGACGCGTTGTAAACGGCGTCGTTGTAGTAAATGGCGGCCGTGTGGTAGTCGGTTTCGAAAATGGTATTCGCGGTGTGTCGTAGTTGTAACCCTTGGTTGGTTCAGGTGGCAGATAGGTGTTGCGTCTCGTCCCTGGTGGTAGGTCGCATATCACGTGCGTTACTGCCATGCAGACTATCGCCGTCTGTTGTAAAAAATACACAGATACATTTTGCACAACGTAACGCATTGCTTTAACAAACTATTAATTAGCCAATTTGTGAGAAAAGAATCTGGCCTTTCGAGAAAATAAAATGTAATAACAAACAATGTAATAAAAAACAATTTCTTAATTCCAATTAATTCTGCGTAGAACGGATAAGAAAATACTTTTCGCAATGACAACGAAGAAGATCTCCCAGCGAGGTAGAGGAAAAGTGGAACGAGACGAAGGAAGAAGAAACTAATTACGATCGCTGCTTTTTCAAAGATATCCCTCCTACTCTCGTCCACCTACTCTCATTTACACAACGGCACACACTGAACCACCGCGGCGCAGCCTCTAATGGCAGCGTATTTCCTCCTCCCGACGAAACGCGTGTCAGCTGTGGATAGAAAAACGCGACGCGCGTGATGCGAATCTAACGAACTGTTGGCGTGTTGCAAATTGGTCTACGCTTGGATTCGGTAATAAGTCGACAGATGTGTAATGCGAGGTTCGCGGACGTCCGCGTTTTCTTCAATTAGTAACCCGACAAATTATGCAAACAGAGCCTCTTGAAACGAGCCTCATAATTGATAGTAATTGTCGAACCAACTCGTCGGGTCCACTTCTTGGGGCCCAATCTAACGAATCACGTGTTGCAACGATCCCGATTTCGCAAGACACATTAGACTGAGCATTAATGACAATTTCAATTACACGAGAACTGATAGATAATAAATTGTTGTAGATAATAAATGATTGGCTTGGATCTGTCTGGATTGTTTCTATTTTGTAACACCTTGTACGTAATATTTCCACGTACGATATTCTAACAAAAGAACGAGAAAACGGGAGACCGGTGACGGAACGAAAACGAAAAAACTGAACAACACTTTAGGACGCAAGCGTGAAAAGGACGGAACGAGCCAATTATAATCTAGGAATGATGTATCGGAGGCAAGCAGAAGTAAATCATTAGCAACGAGAAGCCGCGATTCGAGGAGAGTAACATGAGAAGTGCATGAAAGAGCCGACGTAATTGCATCAGGGAGTAGCAGCGATGCCTTGTATCGCGTATGTGCCGCTTATTCGCAAGGATTTCGCAACAACTTAATTACGCGTCTTCCGCCTCATTTCTACCCGGGGTCTTCTGGCCGCAGTTAATCCCTTGGCTCGGTGAATGCGTGCGAAAACCGTTTCCTCCGCAGTCTCGTCTCCAGTTCCTGATTACAAAATTAATATGCACCAGTCCTGTCTCGTTACGCGAGTTAAACGCAGGCAGTTTCGTAACCTGTTCTAAGAATAAACAGTAGGAAATCGACTGAGTATTCTGTCTCTCGAAAACGCTTCATCACCTGAAATCAACTGTCCTGTTATGTCGCAACGAACACTTTAGGTGGAAAATGCTCTGTCGGCGATGCAATTAACTGCTCATTTACCGTTCGATTACGCGCGCAAACGCGTTTCACCGCACGCAAGGCACGTGCAGCAACGCTGCCCCCGTTGGAAAATAATTAGCTGAAGAGCGTTTTGGTGTTGAATGTACTTCGAGTCACTGTGGAATTCATTTCTGACACAAGAAGTACGTGCTTGATGTACACGGCGAAGAAAGAGAATAACGAAGGAATTTATTGAGAAAGCCAATCTTGAACGTAGTCGTGGTGAATTAGAAGAGGAGACGAGGAAGGAAAGGAACGGTGGATTCATTATAGAAACAGTTCTACAACAGTTTGATCCATTCCTGAAGAAGAAGAAAACACTTGATGAGATGAGGAAAAATGTTTAGAATCGTTGGAACATTTACTGTCTCGATCTTAAATTGACTGAAGGCTTAAGATAGCTGAGCAGTTTAATAGCAATACCATACTCAGCTGGTAACAATTTATACAAGACGCAAAAAGCAAGGAACACAGCTATTTAAACAACTTCTCTTTGATGAAAAAAATGTAGAAACACAATGAAACGTTGTAACAGATTTTCTCTCTTCTTTCATAAACTTCTTGTAAATGAATTTTATCATAGAAACAGGTGTTTCTACATTAGAACAGGTGTTTCTATATTAAGAAAAGAAGAAAAAATAAAGAAATACACTGAAACATTATAAAATATTCCTATCTTTCTCTACGAATTTACTGTTAATGAATTTTATCATGGAAACAGGTGTTTCTTTTATACTAATTGTAAGACAGTTCCTCCTGGGACAGAGCCAATCAAAAAGATGAAGAAATAAGGAAACTGCCGGGGCTGTTGCAAGATAATTCACAATCTCATGAAGAATGTTAAGCAGCCTTCTCTCACCCGACGTTGTCGCTCATTTAAATTTACCAACTGAAGAAAAAGCTAACTTACACCATTGTCTCAAGCGATTTATTGTTTAACGTTCATTGTCACAGCCAAAATGATGCAAGTCCTTTATAGATCTCGAATCAATGATTGCAATTACCATGTAAATTGCATAAAACACACAGCTGGAAGTTGATTTAACAAGAGGAAGAAGAAGAAGCAGAATGGCACTGAAATTTCTAACAGACAATTGGTTTCTCCTTCAATTTCTAACAACTTGGTTTGTTCTTCAATTGGAACAGAAACGGTCTCGCCAATAGATTTTCTCATCTCAATAACAGTTACCACACATCGACTCATCTCTTACAAAATAAAGGATATGAAGAAACAGTCAATTGGAGCATATGTGAAAAACTTTCACAGATGTGTATCGTGCGTCGTTGATACGATTACTAACAGTGAAAATTCATTAGCAACCATTAATCGATCGACGAGACTCCCGCGTCTGAGATTCATACACCTTGCTGCGCATGAAAGTCTTGACAGAACGGAGAAAAGAGATTTCGTCTAACATGCAATATCTTCTTAACACGGACAGAAATGAAATTACCTGGAAAAAAAAAAGAAGACGTAGGTGTAATATATCTCAAAGAATAGAACTGTTGTATCAAGCATTGTGTACCTGTGAAACAAACAACAACTTCTAATTTGATTTGTCGTACAATTACTGCACTTTCTATTAATTAAATCAACTAATTATGATGTAATTTGGGATCAAATTATTGTCAGCAGAGTTTACTAGAACTTCAGTATACTGAGTATTTCTTTCCAGATGAATCTTCAACTGTTTGGTGATGTATAAATTGCGCTACGATCTACGCAGACGCGTTCCAACAATCATTTTTGTTGGATATCCTTACGGGCTAAGATTATCGAACTTGATTCCAGCTAGACTGTGATGTTCTCTAACGATTCGTAACGCCTCGGGGGGACCGTGTATCAATAAATCAATTACGCAGCGTGATTCATCTTTCCTGATTAATCGCAGAGTTCTCGAAGATCGCGTGGCATATTCGCGGTAATTTGTTAACACATTTTCCTCACTCTGTAGAGGGAGAATTGAGATTTATGAACCATGAGGCTCATCGGTTGGGAGACAATAATTAATCATATTAATTAGATGGACCACTGGATTGCTTCTTAATTACATTAAATGCTTGCAGCATTCAGTTAAATTAGTTTCCAGTTAATTTTTACGAAACTAAAAAATGCGAAATAGAAATCACCACGTTAAATCTCGAGATACCTGCGATCATCTCTCCTCACTGTAAATTTCACGAAAAAGTTTCTTAATTTCTAAGAAAGGCACTTCATGATTTCAATTCATAAAATTGAAAATTGAACTCAAAGCCTTTTAAAAATTACTCATCATCCTTGCTCAGGAAATACATACCTGAAGATAAAACATGTTGAAATGAACCGAAGGCCCGGAATTACTGAACTTAACTCACGCACCGCTTTTATTCTTGAAAAGAACACTGCGGAAAGACGAAGAAGACCAGACCTTTATGAAAGCACCATAGATTTTAATAGATTTTCTCGTGGAGGAATATCTCTCTAATGCAATCGACTTGAAGAGACATCAGGAAAATAGAGTTTCAATCACCAAAAACTGTGTAAATGTTGGAAAACAAAATTGCCTCAGAGATGCAAAAATATATTAAATTTTTTAAATTCTTTTTCATGAACGTAACAGTCAAAGACAGAAATCGACAGATTGATTTAAAAAAAATTTTCAAATGAATTGAATTTAGACAAAAACCTTTCAACCAATCTAAAATTTTATATTAATCAGATAACTTCCAAGGTAGAGAATTTAGATAAAAAATTTCGTTCATTTTTCAATATCAAACTTTCGTACAAAATTTTTCAACAAATTTTGAAAATTGGAATTCTTTTCTTAAGTAGGCTCTCGTTGGCCGATTGCAAGATACCAGGAACAAACAAAGGAGAGGAATATTGAGAATATCAAGCCATTGTGTCGACTCGAAAGTATACGTCTCGTAAGTATAAAAGGGTAAAGAGATTATAGCTTCCAATAGATTCTGTCTAGAATGGAGTCGTAAATAACCGCGGTTTCCATGAAAACGCGCGCTTCTGTGTTAAAGGGTTGTGAATAGACCTCGGCGACATTTCACGGTAAACCACACCCTTCGTATTCATCACATGCGTGATACACCACTCCCTGGTTGGGAATCGTGAACTTTTCGATTCGAAATTCTCCATACGGTTTCCCGCGGTACAGATCAAAGGAATGTACATCTGTGTACGTCTGTCCATACATTCCTCGGTCGACTTTGCAACAAGAATTACGTGTGAACTATTAATCGTAATTCAGAGATCAGAAAGAGTCCCATAACACAGAGGCAAGCGACATAAAGGAAGAAAAAAAGAGATGGAAGAAAATCTCAAAATATTCCGAATTTAAAAATAAAAAAAACTCGGCAGGATCGGGTTACTTTTTATAAAAATTCAGATACTCCTTTTTATACGTCAACGTCATGGAATGATACTGTCGAAATTTATTTTTACACAGTAACTACACTGCCATCCGTAAAGTCCTCATTCAGCCACCAAACGAGAAAACTACCACCCCTGCAACTCTAACAGTCCAAAGAGCTCACAGAAGACATTTCCTCCACGAGGAACAGCACTTTGTGAAAAAAGAAAAAAAAAAAGAAAAAAGAAAAAGAAAAAATCGAATCTCCGGTTACAGAACACCGTGATCACCAAGAGGGGATGATGGTACTGATCGGTGAAATATCACCGAGGTCTGACGAGATCTTTTCCTTGGAGCTACTATACTCAAATTCAGCCCTTACGAATTCACGATATTGCGATCCCGACGAGGCACGTGTGTCTCGCTGTTGCACGATATCGATGCACTCCGGCACGGTTGTGAATAAAGTCAGTAGGTAACTGGCCGGCATGCTGGCAGGTTGGGTTTATATAGCGTGGGTCTAATAAGATGATACTGTTGAACGCGTGTTGGGACCGGGGCCCCAACAGAAGAACAGAAAGAGGGGACACACCGTTGATGAGCGTTGCCTTGTTTCGCCTTACCTTGCCTCACCTTGCCTTAGAACCTTGCCATCGTCGACCGAGGCGAACGCGAATCTTGCACCACTTTCCTCCTTCGCCAGCCGTCACTTTACCTTTGCCTTTGCCCTCTCTCGTTCGTAGACTAGCCTTTTAGCTTTCCACCTGTTTCTTTCCTTCTTTTTAGGTCTTATTTGCCATTATTGAAGTTTGAAAATTGATTAACACCTGACTGATCTTACAATCAGGAATTGGGATGTTTTTCGATAGAGTGACCATCTTCCTTTAGGTGTGTCACTACAACATTTACAATAATACAAATTTCGGAGGTCAAATTTATATGAAAATTTTGAGGAAGAACAAGTCTAAATTTATCTCTGCATGTTATAAACGGATGTCAACACTTTGTAATGGCAGTATTAATTAAATTAATACTTTGCCTCAAATGATCTTCTAGAAACAGCAAATTTCAGTTTTGAGACTGAGAGATCACTGACGTGATCGATGACTGCAAAGAAAGAGAACGAAGTTCGAAACACTTCAGTGTGATGATCCAACCTCTCCTATACTCCATGCACTTCTATGAAATATCAAATTCTTTCCGATACGTAGCACGATATTATCGATGGAACGACTTCTTCATGCTGCACCTTCGAGGCTAGAAGTCAGCGCGCGCGCCTCGAAATATCATTTGGATCGCACTGATCCGGATCACACTTCCCACGATGCTGCTAAAAGTGCAGTCGCAAATCTGTCGCACTCATTTTGTTTCGTGTTTTTTTCCTTCTTCTTTTTTTTTTTTTTTTTTTTTTTTCTTTTAATGAAATGCATCGTTAAATCAACGCGGTGCCGCAATTTTGATCCTTCTCACCGATTACTTCACGCAACGTTTCTAGCCGACGCATGAGATGCGTCCTTTTAACTAGTTCTCTGCGTTACTGGCGACCATAATTAATGAAACTATGGCTAAATTTACAACGATAATCATCACCTTCTGGTTGCAGAAGCGGATTAATGCTGCACAGGCGCGCCAGAACTGCTGCAAATAGTACGTCCCCTGTCATTTTTCCGCACGGAGATTGTGCACTTCTGAAGATTAGTGTGAAACGTTAGAAAGTGATGCTGGGCGAAACTTGGGAAAATGGTTGGACGAGATGTCCCCGATCGATACGGGCTGTACAATGAAGACACTGTAATTTGGGAGAATGCTTGATTCAGGCGAAATATTGATTGACAGGGAAGATATTCACGAACGAAAGATACCTAAGTCTGAAAAGAGAATAAAATTATTAGGTTCAGTGGAATTACCAGGCTACGAAGATTTATTGCTAGCACGCTACAATTTGAGAAGACGGTCGGACGAAATGAAATACTGACTCCTCAAGATGTCCAAATCCGATCTTAAGAGATTTGGAAACGCAAACCTGAAAAAGAGAGAGACTATAATATATTTATTAGACAGTATGGGGAATAAACACACCAGTGACAGAAAAGAATATGTATAAACAAGAGACAGAGCAATCTAGTATCATTAGAAGATACTTCTGAAAATGTAGAACCGAGGCATCTCCTCGGCCGTGAAAGGGTTGAAGCAACTTCGCGCTCTGCCCTGACCCGGTCTTCCCCGCGGTTCTTGAATGCGTGTAAGGCTGGGCAGGAGGCAGATTGCTCGCCGAGCAATTCCGAGCGTGCGTATTCGCGCGTGCCTTTCTCCGCTTGCTCACTGGACTCCGTGCACCTTGAATTTGCTGCTAATTCCGATCGCATGGCTCTTTCTATTTTCCCATTTCCTTTAACAGTGCAAATTTTATCCATTATGAATAGTGAGTCAAACTGCCATAAATAATTCCGTTCGAAAAATATTAAACTGGTAATTTTAACCACAAGGCACAAGAAACATTATTAATAACAATTTTATTTGACATTGATTTTTCAAGATTTCATCAAAGTCCTCGGTAACTGAGGATCTTTCTCTTTTGCTTTCGCATGGCATGCAAGAAAATGTAATGAGGCACACACCGAACTGCATAAATCGTATGAATAACTGAACGGTAGGAATAACTCAACGCCCACCGTGCAGACGTGGACACGGATTTTGCGTCATTCTTATGGAAAAGTTGGCACTCGAGAGGACATTACGGCATGTGCTCGTCAATGAATTTTCTTTCTGAATCACGCCGATAGTGGGCGTAACCGCGATTGGTAATTATCTGATAATTCGTGCAACGGCATTCTAACACCAGTTTCGCAACAGACAGATGCAACCTACTCGGGATGGATGTCCTCCTCCCGGATAGATGCCCAGGCCAGTGTGCTTGCATTTCGCAACGTTTTCCGCACCACTTCCCACGATCGACGGCGCGTAACTTCTTTCATACGCTCCGTGTTCGATAATGAAGGAAGATCGTCCAGATCGATGATCCACGGTATCTCGTGATACTTGATTACTAATCGCTAGTCTACGGCATTATTTGCATTGGAATTCTGTTATTACTTTCCAGTATTGCAGAAGTGATTAACTGTTGGTGAGGATGGTCTAGATTCAAGAAAGATGACTTTTAGGATCTACACCACGTTGGAAAATAATTCTAGAAACATTCAATAATACAAGACGATAATGGATTTGAAAGGATGATCTAACAGAAATGGGATCCAGGATCTTGTCTGGAACAGATGTCGAAGCTGGAGCTAAAACATAGTATTTCATGAGGAACGATTTCTCTTTTAAATGTAATTTGTATTACTATCATTTTCTCTTTGAGATTTCTTTGAGAATTATGCATCTTACACTCTCTTTTATCAAGAATTCTTTAAAAAAATAAAATTGCAGAAGAGATGGAACGTCCAAGAGCAGAACGATCACAGTCGATGCAATAATCCATGAAAATGCAATCCAAAGCTCTATACGAAGTGAGCTAGGATCATTTATTTGAAATGAATGAGTGATTAAGAAACTGTGGACCAACAAATCCCATAACCTGTTACCCCATAGGTAATCGTTTCTTCAGATAAATCACAGAATTCCACGCGATTACTCGTTGATGATCCAACCCAATTTACAATTAAACTCTAAAACAGCAGCACAAAGCAATTAAGACTCCAGCTCACTGGTGATTTCTAACTATCAACTGTTTAAATGTCAGAAGTTGAAGTTATGATGTTTATCCAATTTGCATAAAGCAGACCATTAACTTATCATTAACTTATCATTTACATATCAGTTTCAAAATTGAAAAAGTTGCAGAATATTAGCAGCACAAAGCAATTAAGACTCCAGCTCACTGGTGATTTCTAACTATCAACTGTTTAAATGTCAGAAGTTGAAGTTATGATGTTTATCCATTTTGCATAAAGCAGACCATTAACTTATCATTAACTTATCATTTACATATCAGTTTCAAAATTGAAGAAGTTGCAGAATATTAGCAAGCTTTACGGGCATAAATTAGAACTAAATTATGTTAGATCTCACGATAACCGGTTCTAATATGTCACAGGCAAGGAGACATCGTATAACTTAACATTAAATTAAATGCCAATGTATAAATGTTTATTAAGGATTAAGTTAAACATAAATGTGCAAATGTTGCCTGAAGATTGAAAAGTGAAGCTGGATTCAGAAGAAGGTGGAAATATTTGCTGAGTAAATTGCGCATTGATTGCAAAATATATCTAAAGGAAAGGTGATTTCAGAGAAGACTTAAAGAATTTCAGAAATTTGAAAAAATACGAGAGACTGGATTTCAATAAATTTTGCTGAGAACATCAATAAATTGATGTAAAAAATAGTTGTAAAATTAACTGAGATTCTGAAGAGAGATAGGATTTCAAAAAGTATTAAGTTAAATCGAATCATTAGTACCAGTATTGGTATTTTAGTGTAATACCATTTTAAATAAAAATTTCATTGTAAATTTAGTACTGAAAACTATTAATGTTAATCAGTACAAATATAATATTATTGAAAAATAGCATCATATTGCAACTCTATTGAGCGATGTATTTCTAAGAAATTTAGAACTACAGCAACCAATGATGCGACACTAGCGCCACACGAACCATAACTAATCTCGCTAGTTCACATACACTTCATCATTGATTTATATATACTTGTTTAATTATCGTTTACGACGTTAATTGTATATTTCGTTTGTTCGTAACGTGAAAGCGTCAGTGACTTTCTACAAAGTACATAAATATTGGTCGTCAAGAAAAATCGAACAACAATCTTCTTCAAGTTGTCCGAATTTTATGCTTTTCCACGATCAGTTCGATTTCTTCGCAGAGAAAGCGGGCGAATGGAATTCCAAAGCGTAACATCGAGCGTAAACTTATGAAACGCGAAACTGAAACGGCATCAGCGGGACAATCGTCGAATTTATTTTTACTGCGCGGAATCGGAGCCGGTGGAACCACCGCGGAAGGAGAAAAAGAGCCATGGTGGCGCCAGTGTGCCTCGCGCGTTGCGTAATCACGCAATCCGCAGAGGCGGCCTTAAAAGTGGAAAACTTTTTAAGATTCCAGGATCGTAAAGCGAACTAATTGCTCGATGCCGGTGACGGGCGTCGACTCATGAGAAAGTTTTCTCTTTCAGTTTAATTTTTCCACGGTCATCAAGGCTGCCAACATTCGCCTGCCCCTCCTTCGTTTTGATGGGAAAGAGCAAATAATTTTCTAATAATCCTTCGTCGATTATCTCACCTTAACTGCAACTTTAAGATACCCAGCCTAGGTCAAGGAACGTTTCGACGTCGCTAATACGAAAAAGCCTTTTAGCCTTCAGCTGCTAAGCTTTGTATCTTTAATTGATCCAATTAAAAATTGTTTAACTTCATTAGAATTACTAAAAAACTAGTACGTGATTCGAATCTTCTTCAGGGATTATAAAAAATTTTCTTTTCTAAGAATTTTCATAAGAATCTTTATGGCCTTTTCTCTCACAATCTACATCTACTGGATCAAAAATTAATGATTGAGAAAGATTGTCAAATTAAGAAAAGGGGGATAACACTATTGAAATTGAAATATTCCAAATTCCATAGTCTTTCAATTTCAAGCTTAAATATCTTCTATGGTTTCTCGTTCAAAATTTATAATCTGTTCGCGTTATACACAATAGAATTTAATTTATCGAGATGAAATAACTAGAGGTTAATTTCATTGAATGGTTATTGAAATTTCATCCCAGTAAATTAAATTCTACTGTGTGTACTGTTTACAGTAGCTTCGAGCCTCTTAATTCGTAATTGAACTGGAAAATATATTTCTATCGTGGAAGTGTTTCTAACTGAACGGTAGAAGATGAGAGTAATCAACAGCGTAACTAGCTATGCTTGCAACTACCGTATCGAATTGGACTGACGTGCGGTAAATTTGATGAAATATCTATGTTACGTGAGGAATCCGACAATTACAGTCGAGCAGGTACTAGTTTTCAATCGTCATGGGAATGATGTTCCCATGTAAAGATGTACCATTGCCAAGATATATTGCTAGAACACGCCGTTCAAATAAATTTACATTAAATTAAATTCTGACTTTCTGACAGAAACAAAATTTATAAAAAATTCTACTTCTTTTCAGTCTTTGTTCGAAATCTAATTCCTTTCAAATTAAAAGTTATTCCGAAGTTAAAATAACTTTAACTTAACCGTAATGATACAATTTTTAATACTGTCAATTTTTAATACAAAGCATTATCATTATTTAATTTTTCTACTTTAGAAGCAAAAGTACAATAATATTTTTCTCTTCTCTAAAATATTTTACAATAGATAAAAGAATGAAAATAATATCATAATTATCCAGAATATGCATTGCAGTCGAGTTGAAAGCATGCAAGATGTAGATACAAAGATAGCGGATGACGAACCGGGTGCACTTACACGGGAGCTTCGGGAGAGAGAGAGAGAGAGAGAGAGAGGTTTGTCTCTCTCCTGTCACTTTACCGATTCACGTGCGCTCACTAGACGTTTTACAAGTCATGGGCGGACCATTAACGAGCGGTTTAATAACGTCTAATAACGTGATATTATTTTCCAAATGTTGCAATTCCACGTTACCGCTCTTTTCAACAGAACGCAAGCTGTATCGAAAATGTAATAATTCAAGTAACCTTTCTTTTCAATGGTACTATTATTATCTCAATCAAAATATCTCGTATTCCATCTTAATAACCAATGCCGCGTAACGTTTCACTTAAATAATTGAAACTTCATTGACTTTATTACAGTGATTGAATCTTTGGAAATGGCGAGGTAAGCTTGAACTTGGAATTGTCATATTCAGACTATCATTTAATATATACGTCGACCCTTGTCAAGAAGAAGTCTGAATGGTTGTGGATGATTGAGATTGTACGTGGAATTCAATGCTGACGTGGGTGATCCGTCTACACCCTTTGTAACGTCACCCTTGACACAATTTCCAGATCTGATTCATCATCTTACTGGAGACACAAGTCTGTCGTAAAATCTTCAATTTTTTGCGTCGATTCATTATGAAATGTGAATAAAACCTATGGCTATTAAAATTTAATTTAATTAAAGTCCCAGTGAGATAAAATGTAGTGCACTCTAAAAATAAGAAAATCTTTATGCTAATTAAATGGAAAAACATAGAAAATATTTCAATTCTCTTGAATGGTCTTCACTCCTCCTATGATCTTTTCATTTTTCGTTTTTAGCAAGAACATCATATGTCTCTCCTAGAATCAAAATTATTTAACAAAATTAATTAAAATTATGCAGTAAAACATGGTATCACCTTAGGCATAGACATCTACTAAAGTCTATTAGAATCTACTCAAGTATGAAAGAAAATTGTCCGTCTAATGTGAAAATGTTAATTGACAAAATTTCAAGTCACGAATTTGACAAAGACTCGTGAAAACGCTGGAAAACGTTGGTCAGGATTCTCAAGTGATTCGCACTCGAGCACTCGAGATCTGACGGGAGCAGACGATGTGACGGAGCACCCAGATTCTTGGCAAGCAGTAGGTCATCAGCGACTAGAACGAGGAGTTTTCACTTTCATCGTGACCGAGGGAATGCCTACTTACTTCGATGCGCAACAGACAAAGGCGTCACGGCGCGAAGAACCCGGCTAACTATGACACGCAACTTCGACAGAGGATCGGATATTCATAACCTTCCATTGAATTCGCGCACTCGTGCGAACTCTACGTTCCACTTGGCCTCTTCCTCCGCGCCACCTTGATGTGAAAAACGCCGAGATCTGACCGTTACAGCTGGCCGCTGGAACATCTAATTGCTGACACGATCGTAAATCATCAGACTTTGGAAAACAAAAGTTTTCCCTTTGACAAATCTATACTGGACAGGAGGAGTTGAACGTTAGGTGAATGTATTGTAGGTTCAATCTTGTACCTTACTCGAGTTAATAAGAATATCGCAGAGAGAAACTGAAACATACAAAATTTGAAGTTTTAGAAAAATCTGAATCCCCAATTTAGGGAGATTTAAAAGTTGAACATCTGATATTTTAGAATCTTTAAGGAAAATTAAATTTTCCTAAAAGTATGGATACTGATAT